CAGAAGCCCAGCTATACTGGTTGCCATGTAAATGCTGGGACGCACGAAGATTAGGTACGATCTCCTCAGCTGGGCTTGGTGCCAGGTCCCCAGGGCGCACTCACATTGTCATCTGTCAACCCAAAGTTGGCAGAGTAGGACAAGGCATTCTTGTCCATAAAGTTGAGCGTGTAAGTTACGACCATCTACTAGCCGGACGCGATTCACACGAAACTGTCAGCACTCGCCCTGGTTCAAGGCATCTTTGATCTTCACGCTGGGTGCGCCGGCGCAGGGCCCCTGTGACTCTCTGCTGCGAAACACTGACCATCGGAAGCAGATGGCGGTCAATCTTGCGCAGGATCCGCCTGTCATCGGCTTCGCTCAAGGCCCCGACATGATGTTCCTTGAGATACTGTAATGCATTGTCGACGGTGGCCATATGCTCCTCGCCCACCACATCGATCCCGGCTGTCTTAGTCGCTTTCTCCATCTCGTCTGGTGCGTGGCGAGCAGTCACCTATGGTGGGGGATGTCTGATGCTGGGCAGCTATCAGGGTAGCCTCCAGTGTGCCAGCGGGGTTAGCGACTTGATGTTGCTTGCATTTTTATAAATACTGCCGGCCTTCTGTCCGCCGACGATTGCTGGTATGATCATCGCTGTACAGCGAACCAGCGACAACCCGTCAGTCGCGTTGTGTTGGGCGCATCGACGACGCCTGGCTGTCGCGACATGTTTCGGACCCCAACGGTTGCTCAGGTACAGGCCATGCGTCGCAGTGCCCTGTTGGTCCGCAACACTGCATGGCAACCCCGCGTTTGTGTGCTCCCGACACTGCATGCTCTGAGCTCGCGTTCATTTCATCCCGAGCTGGCTACCAAATGGGGCAATTCCTAAGCGACGGGATCGGAAGCACTCTGACTCGATGCAGACAGTTGCGAGGCGGCTCGTCGCAAAATGCTTCATATCGCTTTCCCAGTTGAAGATTCCCGTCGCTTCAAGCTCGGTTCTCGCGGTATGGTCCGTGGGCCCGTTGTACCACACTCCCCTTTGTTGACGGGGCATCTCAATTGATGCTCCACCGATGATGAAGCGAGCGCGTGTTTCCAGGTCCAAGACAGGTTGGTGGCCTTACAGTATCGTCGCGTTATCTCGCTTCTTCGGCCAGTACATTGGCAGTGCTGACTGGCCAGCAGGCTGCTTGTCGTGCAGACGCCGGAAGGTCCGTTGCGACGAGCTGAAGCCGATTTGCAGCGCGTGCAACCGACTGGAGCTACCCTGTTCATTTCGGCTGGGCGATGCAGCGGACTTCGGGAAGACACGATACCGTGTTCGTTTCGTGACCTCCTCTTATTCGAAGCTCCAGGCCGGAAGCAGTGATTTGAGAAACGCTGGTAACGCTTGTCCCGAGCGCCGCCAGCAACCTACATCAGGAGCCAGCAAGGATGGGTGTTCGACGTCGTGCGCCCGCACCCCGACTCACTTGTCAGATGTGCACCCCGACAACCCGCCTGACGGCTCATGTCAAGCGAGCCCAGAGGCAGACTCGACTCTCTCAGTGGGTGACGCCGGGCACGAGTCCCAGGTTTTTGAGCAAAACGGGCCCATTCCCGAGGCCGACCGTCAGGAACCGGGGATCGTGTGGGGCGAAGACATCAATTCCATTCACATCCCGTCGTACTTCGACCTGAATCTCAACTTTGACTCGTTAAGCGAACAATGGCCAGTGTCCTATGGCACATTCGCCGATCCTTCAGCGCCAAATGGATCGTTTTACGAAGACTCCGGCTTCGGGACTGTGGCCGACGACAGAACGGTCATCATCGAGCCGGCTGACCACAACCTGATCCAGCATTATCTGAACGTGATGACCCAGTATACCAAAATGCGAAGTTCTGGAGACGAGAGTATCTATACTCAAATATTCAGCAATATGGCCTTGTTTCATCCACCCCTGTATCACGCGACGATGGCTTGGACCGGCCTACACCTCGGTCAGAGCAAAGATGAGCCTGAGCTGATTGAGAACGCCGAGTCGCGTTACAGCCATGCAGTATCGCTGGTGCATCAAGATAGGGATGCCTGGCAACACTTTGAGCTCTCACTCGTCACCATATGGTTTGCGCTACAGTACGAATTGCTTGCCGCCAGAGGCATTGAGTCCTTCTGTCGCCATCTAGAGTTTGTCGCCGATCTCGTTGACGCTCACGGTGGCACAGTGACAGTGGACATCAGACAGCCACTGCTCGGACCGATTGGCGCCAGAGTGCTGATGTGGCTCGGATCCTACGACGCCAGAGCGTCTTGGATTGGTGGTTCAGGACGCCTCTTGAGGAACCTCGAATTGTTCCGCTCGAGCTGCAACATACTGGATGCCGCGTGTCCAGCGAAACAACCCGGGCCGGATGCAATGAGCTTGGAGGTGTGTCTTCGCCTCACCCTTGAGTTTGACACCGTGGACAACAAGATTGCGCATCTACATCGACGGTCGGTCGGGCCACCGGCTGCGATCTGGGCGGCAGTGCAATCAGACCTGCTGTTTCTGCAGAGGCGGCTCGAAAATTCTGACTCAATATCTTCAACCTTAGCTTCGATTCTCCAGCCACAGAGGATCATGAAGGCCGCCATGACAACGAAACTGTTTAATGATCTCTTACTTCTGTCCACATTTTATAGTCTGATCATTAGCTTTCACAGAATACTTCCTTTCCCTACTCTGGCTATTGTGGACCCCGAACTTCTAACTGCCGAAGAAGCCGCGACGCGAATTGTGCGTGCGGCGGCATGGGTGATCAGGCTTAAGAAGCCCTCTCCCCAGAACATCTGGCCTCGCATTCTCTTCATGGCAGGGATTGAAACCATTGACCCTCTGTATCAAGACTGGGTTGTGCAAGTTTTTCGAGATGCGAAACCCTGGGGTGGGAATTATTGCAAAACTCTGACATTGCTGGAGAAAGTCATTGAGAGGCAGAGCATGGAGGGGGTCAGAGTAGACTATGTTGAAGTCATGAAGGAATCTGTTGGTATCTTCATCATCTAGATTCAGCGTCGCAGAGGTAATTACATACGGTGGAAGCATAAGGGTCACCTTGAACACTTTTCGTGGTCCCTCATTCGATCATCTCATACGTCCCTCTCTCGTCAATCCTGAGTCGCCTGACCAAGTGGCCACCAGCATTGCCATACTATCTCATGTGCAGTGGTTCATTCTCGCAGACATAGTTTGATGTAAACCCTAAGGTGTCCTGACTACAACGAGATGCCCTTTCGCTCCGCTTGGAACGCCCAAGGCTTGGACAGAACGATGGGGATCTGTTGGTTGTTTTAGTGTAGAAATTTCTGGCAGTCCAAAGATCAACAGGCTTCTTGTACCCGACTGACTTGCCTGAATAGGAAGGTTGGATGGCGTGCATCGGGTGCTGTGTTTCCGTTCCTTCGCGACACTGACACAACTGACAACCTACAGGATGAGTGTTGGTACATGGAACTGCTTAACCACCGATTCAAGGTTTTGCCTGGCGATTCTTACGTTCTGAACACGAGTTGTAATGTGATCGCCCTTGCCAAAGGCTATGCGGAGATGTATCTATGGGTTGGTGACTGGGTGTGATGTTAACTGAGCCTTGCCATGACTTTAGGTTGTTTCATCTCAAAAAGTCTCATGCTTGCGTTCCCACCCAGCGCGCGTGAGAATGCAACTCAAGGCAGCTTCCTATGGCATGTCATGCCAGCGAGTTTGAAGTCCCGTCGCCTAGAACAATGTCACAGTATGGGCTGCAGAATGAATGGCTTGGGGAAAGCAATGACCGAGTGAACAAGATACTCTATGACCATCATTCTCAAAGGTAAGTCTTGCTGCCCAAGTTTCTACTCTGCAATCCGTTCTGATGACAATAGAGAATGGTGGCGAATCCGAACACTTACTCTGTCTAGGAATCTCGGCCGAGGGTACCTTCATCTCTTCGGCGTCGCTCTTTCAATACTTGGGTTTCTTATGGCATCCCATAGAGAAAAGAGCCTCAAGTATCCCACACACAGAAACTCCCTTTCTCATCCTACCGCTCGGCCAGAGAACGTTTCCGGACTTGTTCCGCCTCTGTGGCTGACGCTTCTACAATCATGTATTTCGGCAGCAGTCCTGATTCTCTCCACTCTGGATGCAATCGAGCAAGGGAGCTGGATAGTCCCATGGAGCTGGGCGTACTTGTTTCTACTCGGTATCGCAAGGTTGGCTGCGAGAAAACACAACAGCCGAAGATCCGCATATCGACATTTTGTCGTCCTTTCGGTTTCGTTCACGACACTGGACTTGGTCAAGAGCTTCATTCCTTTCATCATTATTGACGGCCGCACCAAGATCGCGGCCATTCAAGTGTACCAGCTGATCTCAGCCACCGTCTTTGTGGTTATTGTCCTTTCGTCACCGCGAACCCCGTGTGATAAAGAGCTAAGCTTGGAGACTTTGGCCTACACGGAAGCGACTTCCCCCGAGGAAACATGCTCATGGGTGTCCTACTATGCGTCATACAGCTGGCTTACTTCGCTGATACTGAAAGGTGTCAACAAAGATCTATCGTTGGAAGACCTGCCGGCTTTACCCTGGTACGATGCACCACTTCTTCTCCTTCAACGGATACAGAGGATGAACATAGCAAGGTGGAGGACGTTTCCGGTCTTTTGCACCATGTTTCGCAAAGAAATCGTCTGCATCATAATCTGGGCGACACTCACTGCAGTTGCCGAATACGGCGCACCAATGGGGATGCTTCACCTGTTGAGGACTCTGGAAGACCCTGAAACAAACACAGCCTTCATGCATCCCACTGCATGCATTCTACTCCTGTGTGCTGGGCCTCTATTACGATCTCTTTGCTATCAGCAGTCAATATTCCGCGGCACTAGGATGCTTGTTCTTTGGAGGGCTGTGATCATCCAGAAGATCTTTAACAGCATCGTCTTCACACACCACCATACCGAAACCCTCCCCGAGACAGCCACAAGGTCTGCAACAAATGCCCTCATGGACTATTCGCCCTTAACATCGACGGTAGCCGAAAGCCTCATCTCATACGATGCGGAAATGGTGTCGCACTCGACCGACATGTTTTATGCGTTCACCGCGAGCCTGACATCGACTGTCCTGGCTATGACGATCTTGTACCATCTATTAGGCTGGCCATCCCTTTTCGGCATCATGGTATTGGCTGCACTGACACCAATGCCCGCGATCATTTCGAAGCGAGTGTCGCGTTTGCATCGAGAGGTGATGCACGCTACGGACGCTCGAATTGCCAAAATCTCCGAATGCCTGCAGGGGATCCGGACGCTAAAGTATTTCGCGTGGGAGCCCATGATGTTCGCAAAAGTCGACAGCATACGCCTCAGTGAGCAGCAGAGAATTTGGAAGCGCAACATAACCTCCATGTTTGTTCCGCTGGTGGGAGACATGATGTCTCTGCTTAGTTTAACTGTCGTGTTCACTGCCCTGCTCCTGGTAACGAACCGGCCGCTACGGGCACCTGTGGCGTTTACGTCACTCAGCATCATGGAAACATTGCGAGGGCAGTACGTGTGGCTGTCAAAAGTCGTACAATGTGTCGCTCAAGCACGGGAGTCGGCTCAGAGACTCGATCTGTTCCTTGAATCGGGAACTGAGAAGCAACGAGGGGCTCCAGGGCCTCCCGCATTTGCGAACGCCACTTTCCGAATGCCGGGCAGTTCTGGCTTCAAGCTGTCCAACATTACCATTTACTTTGAGGAGAAAGCACTGAATGTTGTGACCGGAGCGATGGGGAGTGGCAAGACGATGCTGTTGCTGTCCCTATTGGGAGAAACGACGCGTGACTCCGGCCAAGTCACTTGTCCTGTGGATGTCGCTTTTGTCCCGCAGACAGCATGGCTCCAGAGTGGCAGCATTCGCCAGAATATTGTCTTCTACAGCCACTATGAGGAAACACGTTACAATGAGGTTCTCCACGCGTGCGATCTCGTCAACGACCTAACACTCCTCCCGGACGGTGATCGGACAGCAGTAGGGGAGAAAGGATCGAATCTATCGGGCGGTCAGAAGCAGCGGATATCGTTGGCGAGAGCTGTGTATTCGACCGCCTCAACACTACTTCTGGATGACGTATTCTCGGCGCTCGATGCACAGACAACAGCAAAGGTCTACAAGCGCTGCTTCCGTAGCGGCATCCTTGGCGACAGAACCGTCATACTGGCGACGCAGCTGCGTCAGGCCATAGATGACGCCCAACTTGTCATATATCTTCATCAAGGAGTAATTTCATCTGCTTCCGGCCCCTCCGTCGAATCGTCCGGTAGCTGTGAACGCCCAATGTCGGAGTGGAATGGCGCCGACCGGAAAGGTGACGATTATCTTCGCTCGTTCCAAAACGTTGATTTAAGCTGCAGTGCAGAGATCAGGTGCTCAATGGATTCAAATCTCCTCGAAAGGCGTTCGAATGGGCTGAAGATCGAGGAGCCACGCTCATCTGGTCGAGTCCCACGATACATGAGTACGTTGCGCAATTGCAGGCGTACAATGGATGACACTCCTGACCCGCACAGTTCCCAGATATATGATCTTGTTTGGAAGTGTCCGACGTGCGCTTTTGGCCGTGTTCAGCGCGCTGGTAGTTCAGATTGCATATTTCTCCATTCCATTCTGGCTGTCCCTATGGACCGGATCAGCAACGGGGGATGAAAGCACCTCACCGAGAGGAACTACATATCTTATCACATTTGCCAGCTCCGTCCTCGCATTCATTCTCCTACAGCTTCTGAATAATTTCATATACCAGTGGGGTGGATGGCAAGCCGCAAGGACCATGCATCGTCGCCTTGTTGTCGCGGTCACGCATGCGCCTCTCAGCTGGTTTGACCGCACTCCGACAGGACAGATCATCAACCGCTTCGGCCCCGACATGCAGTCTTTGGATGCAGTGCTCGTTGATTGGCTGCGTATGACACTCGATAACGGTTTGCGTTTCCTGCTCCGGGTTGCGAGCGTGGCATCGATCATGCCTATATTTGCGCTGCCAGCTGCGCTATGCTGCAGCCTTGGCTTCTGCGCAGGTGAGCTGTACTCGCGAACCGAAATCTCCGTGAAGCGGCTTGTTGCGATAAACTTCTCCCCGGTTCTCTCTCTGTTTGGTGAAGCCGCCGCCGGCGTGGCCGTCATCCGTGGCCATCGAGGTGTGGATGCGATTTTTCGCCAGCGACTGGCCGACCGCCTCGCGGCTCACATGCGAGCCTCCGAGGCTCAGTTCAATTGCAATCGCTGGGTATCCGTGCGGTCCGACTTTTGTGCAGCAACCATTGCCGGCGCGGCCGGAGCCATCGCCTACCTTCGCGGTGGCTCGTCAGGGCTCGTAGGCCTCTCACTAACCAATGCAATTGGCCTAAGCCAGACAATCTTAACGCTAGTCCGAAACATGAACGAGCTCGAGGTCGAGCTGAGCTCATTCCAGCGCATTTCTGAATACACAAATATTGAGCAGGAAGAGCCGGAACAACCGCTGCATGTCGCGCCATTTGTACCGAATGTCGACAACGTACCAGCGACGTGGCCGACAGCTGGCTGCGTTGAGTTTCAGAACGCGACGATCAGGTATACGGCAGAGGGACCAATGGTGCTACGCGGCGTCACATTTGTTGCGAAACCTGGTGAGCGGGTTGCCATCGTTGGGCGCACAGGCAGCGGTAAGAGCACGCTAGGGCTGTCATTACTGCGCGTAACGCAGATTGTAAGTGGCAAGGTACTCATTGACGGGGTCGACGTCAGGGAGGTATCGCTGGCACGCCTCCGCACCAGTATATGCTTCATTGCGCAGGATACGCAACTGTTCACGGGGGACATCAAGGCAAACATCGACCCCTTTGGGAATATGGGCGATGACAAAGCGCAAGCCATCGTGGCGACGTGCAACATCGCCAGCAGCAATGATGGCGGGGGAGCTTCGAAGGTCCAGAGCCTCTCCACTCGCACCCCCGTGATAGACGGCGGATCAAAGTTCAGCAGCGGCCAAAGGCAAATTCTTGGGCTTGCTCGTGCCTTCTGCCGGCAATCAAGGGTAGTGATATTGGACGAACCTACCGCCCTTGTTGACCGCGACACCGATTTAAGAATGCAGGAATTGCTTCGCTCGCAGTTAGCCTCCTCAACAGTCATCACAATAGCTCATAGACTCCGATCCATCATGGACTATGACCGGATAATTGTCATGGGCGACGGCATGGTCATCGAGTGGGTTGCTGTTCTTCCACCCAGTATTGAAGCTACATTGAACTTGTTAGCATCGACTAACACGAGGGTGGAACAGGAATGGGTCACCGTCCGATCTGATTCAGTCCGGGGGAGTGTTCTGGAGCATGATTCAGCATACAGGGGAGTGTGAGGAACTGGCAGCACTAGCACAACCCGGCGCCATGCACATCGGGTGGCAAAGCCCCAGCACTCATTGTGACGCTCGTGCTGGTCTTTAATGGCAAGAATGCACGTGCTACGCATGTCAAATAGTATCTATTATTTTCATCCTAGTGGACTTCCACGACCAGCGTGTTCCTATGTTCTTGAGCTCAGAAGTGAGGTGTGTTGAGCAAAATGCCCATGAGACAGCCACCGATCAGACCTGCAATCGGGATAGTCATGACCCAGGAGAAGACCAGGAGGCCAACTCGCTTCCAGTTGACAGCCTTCAGAGTGCCGTTGCAGAGACCAACGCCGACGGTGGCACCCGTGATGCACATCGACGTAGAGACAGGCAACGAGTATTGTGAGAAGATGAGGACCGTAATGGCAGCTCCCATCTCCATGGAGGAACCTCGGCTGGGGGAGTGGTAGGTGATCTTGTTGCCCATGACTGGAGACATTGTCAGTAATCAGCTTGCCGAGCATCCTCGAGCAGTTGGGAGAATGCCCACCCTTCATGATGTTGTATCCGTAGGTGATGAAGCCAATGCAGATTGTTCCAGCCATGACCGCAATCTGCCAGAGGGGAACAGGTGCCTTGGCACCGATAGCTTCGCCTGTGGACCAAGCAGAGTACATAGCAGCCCAAACCCCAACCGCGTTACCGACGTCGTTAGCGCCGTGGGCGAAGGAGGCAGTGCAAGCCGTGATGATCTGCACAAATGAGTAAAGGTATTCAACCTCGTTGGGATATTTCTTGGCGAGGCTGTAGACGCGCGCCATACGGATGCCCTCGGGAGTGCCCTCAATGCCAATCTGCGCCGTGTGAATGTCGTAATGAGTACCGTAGAGGGCGCCAACCACGATCATGGCAGGAATACGCTTGCACAGGGCGATGAGGTTATGAGTCTCGTGGATCGATCCGACACCTATGGGGTTCGCGTGAAGTGTTCGCATGGCCCAGCCGAGAGGGCCGCGGGTCTTTCGGAGCTTGGCGTGGTGACGCTCTTCGGCGTCTCGCAGCATCTGCTGGTAATGGTGCTGGCTGTACTCGGCGAGGATGAGCTTCTTCTCCCTCTCGCTGGTTTCAGGGGCGACCTTTGGGGTGGTGTGTCTCGCGCGAAGGTCGGGGTTCTCGCTGACGACCTTCTCCTTGGGGTCGTCGAGCACACCGCCTTCTTGGGAGCCTGCCTGGGAAGCCTCATCCTCGTCATCTGAGTGTTGGATGACCGCGTAGTTCGGAACCTTGGCTTCCTCCGCATTGGTGGGTGCCGGTCGGCTGAAGAGGAGAGGGCCATAAATGGCGTCCCACCATCGCAGAGAGTTGTCCTTCTTGATGACCTTAGCGTGCACATAAGGCACGAAGAACAACGCCGACAAGACGAACAGGCCCCAACCGACGCCGAGGGTCAGGGCAGCGATATACCACGCGGGCTTCTTGTCAAGCCCCAGCTTAGGGGAACCCTTATAGACAATCGAGAGCGTGCAAATCGTGCCGGCGATGAGGAAGAAGAAAGGCGACGTCCACACAGCCCAGGGAACTGGGTTCTTGCGCTGGTGGACAACCACCTTGACGAGCATGAAGATGATGGCACTGAAACATCCGGCAATGGCAGGCGCCATACCCAGGCCGGCGAAAATAGCACCTAGGCCCTTGCCATCGTTCCATCCCCATTGAACGCCGGAGGCGCCCACGGTCGCAACGCCGACGCCAGCAATAGCGGAAATGAGAGAATATGTTGAGGAGACATGGGCAGAATGACGAGTGCACCACATGACCCAGAGGGAAGCACCAGCGGCTGCGCAGGCAAACGCAAGGAGCTGAACGCCCGCGTTATCTTGGAACGCTGAGACTGGGATGATGCCGTTCTTGATCGTAGAGGCTGTCCGGGCGCCGACCGTCAAGGCGCCAAGCATCTCGAAGACGAGACACAGAACCATGGCCTGCCGGTACGTCACCGACCGGGAGGACACACTGGTTGCCCAGGCATTGGCCACATCGTCTGGTGGTTAAAACGTGAGACACTTTTTCGCAGCAGCACAGTACGCGACGAAGCAAGCACTTACTGGCACCATTGTTGTAGGCTTCTAGCAGCGCAAAGCACGTGCCAATGGCAAAGACGTACGTGTAATCGGTGAGGACCATCTTCGGCGGCTTGTAGACGAGACGACTCGTCGTCCCAGTTGCAAAGACTTCTGCCGGAGGAGAAATAAGGTTGATGAGAAGGAGAGACGGCCGGTTCAGGGTCCAGAGAGGGACGCGGGTTCATGATAAAATATCCCGTCCGTTGAACGTGGCGTCCAGGTTCCTTGCTTGGCGAGCAAAGGATCTGACTACCCATCCCGTCCAGTTCGCCACAGGCAGGCTGCGCAAGGCGTCGGCCTGCCGCTTCTCGACTGCAACATGCTCGCATCAGGACACCGACGGAGGCCTCGATCGATGTGCGGCCCATAACTTTGCTACGCTAGCAGAACATGCGAGCTGCGATGGCTGGGGGGAGGTAAATTTTAAGCATAAAGCACCCCACCAATGGACAAGTTGTACGGAGCCCACGTGGGATCAGACGAGCCATCATAGGCTCTATCTCTGTCGGGGGATCGCGCAAAGGCTGGCGGGTCGCAGCCGCCCCCGTGTCAGCTATGTGGGCCATGGCTGGAGCCCGCGGGACGCTTCGCCCGTTCCAGACACCGAGCGTCTCCCAGAGAGAAATCGGGCTTGGGAGCACGTGTCTCTTGGCTTCTTTCGAAGTATGTCCATTGGCCAAAAGAAACACCGAGCTGATGAGTCGCGATCCTCATCAGTCGTATTCTAGGCAGAGAGCTTGCCAACGAACGACATTGGGGCTGATTTTTGTTTTCGCTCCACGGCGCAGGAACGGGTCAACGTTGAAGGGTAAATGCCACCGGAACAAAAAAAAAAAAACGTGCCGCGCTGTGCCTTAAACCTCCGTCTCACCGCGCAAAGTTCGCGTTGCACTGAAGCCACCGTTGTCGCTCGCCCTCATCGACGACGCATGGTGAGATGCTGCGGCCATCAACGATGCCGTTTTGGATGCATGCACTGCCCGCGAAGCACCCCCTGGCCCTTCGCGTACCTCGCGGGCGCCTCAATCTGTTCGTGCAAGCCATGGCCCCTCTGACACGGCAGAGTTTGCGTACAGATGCGGTTCTGCGGTGTTTTCAGTTGAGCCCACCTCACTGAACTAGAGTGGCCTGGCCGCGGACCTCTTCAACCTGCCCTTCTCGTCCCTCACACAAGGTCGCAAGTTGCCAATAATTGCCCGCAAGCGCTGCTTGCCACCCCGCCGGCCGCACGCGCCATGCCGTCAGCAATATCAACATCGGGCCAATTCGCCGCCACGAATTGCCGGGTCAGCTGGCTGAGGCAGTCGTGATGGATGCAGGTTCAGCCCGTAAGCTGCTGGCTGCCACCGGACGCATGCAAACAGCCTGGAGGATCCAGGCAAGACGCTGCACTATAAGTTTTCTTCCCAGACAAGATCATTAACTCTACTGCAAGCATATGGCGACATCAGGTCTATTTATACAAGCAAACAGTGAAGTTGACGCAGGCATTCAGTCATTCAACCCCTGGATGAAGTTCTTGATGCCCTCGCCTCTCTGCGTCATGGCCCAGGCCGCTTCAGCCAGTTCGAAAGGCACTGTTGCGCTGATGAGCGGCTTGACTGACACACGCTGCGCGTTTACAAGCTCAAGCGCGGTCTCGTAGTCACCAGAGCCGTACCGAAATGCCATCTTGAAAACAACTTCCTTTTCGCTCATCTCCATCAAGGGAAGAGTCTGGTGGGGCTTGCCCATCCCGACCTGCACAAAGGTGCCGGCCGCGGCCACGATATAGAGACCAGTCTGAGTGGACGACTCAACGCCGGTGCATTCTAAGACAACATCGATGCCGTCTTTGGCGTTCGCTTCTTTCTTGAACCTCTCCGCCTCCTCTGCGGGCTTGGCCTTCACATTTGGCACAAAGGTCGTGCAGCTGACAAACTTCTTGGCAAAATCCAGTTTCGCTTCGTTGATATCAGTGATGAATATCTTGCTCGCGCCGAACACAGAGGCCGTAGCGGCCATGAGCAGGCCAATCGTGCCGGAGCCTTGGATGAGAACACTTTGTCCCGGCCTGAGGGCAGCAAGACGAAGGGAATGGACCGCGACGCTAAGAGGCTCCAAGAGCACTCCCTCCTGCAAACTCATATGGTCAGGGAGTCGGTAGGCGAAATCTTCTTGCGTCTTGAAGTATCGGCAAAGCATTCCGTCTGTTGGGGGGTCCGAGGCGAATCGCATATTGGGACACAAATTGTACCGCCCGGCTTTGCAGCGCTTGCAGCGCCTACAAGGGACGCCGGGTTCAAGGGCAACTCGGTCCCCAGGCACGAGCGATGTTACTCCCTCTCCAATGCAGTGCACAACGCCTGCAGCCTCATGGCCCATACAGATGGGGCTGACTTCAGAAACGCGCCTTGCTAGGCCGCCATGGGCCCAGAAGTGAACCTGTGCTAGACAATTAGCAACGCCCTGATGCCCACACGGATTGAACGGGTGACAGTTTGCCAACTTACATCAGTTCCACATACCCCGACGTACGAAATGCGAATTATGACATCGTGGGGATCCTCAATGACCGGTTTAAGTCGAACCTCGAACTTGGTCTTTCCTGGTCCATATACCAGACAAGACAAATTGTTCTTTACGTTGTATCAGACTAATGTTGACTGTCTCGCAGAAAGGAGGGCTGTACCTACATCCTGAACCATGGCTCTTCGATCGGACAGACAAGCTGGGGTGATAAGGTGTGGTGTGGCCGACTGGATGGATGCCAGTCTCGACACGACGCTACCAGGTAACCAGGTCCGGCACAGTGATGCTGGTATCCAGCCCGTTGCATTCACTTCACCCGCATGAATTCATGGTCTTACCAAGGAATTTACGAACAATCATTACACGGACCGGATGTAGGAAAGGTCACCGCTATTGCTCGACCTGTCTGGTGGTACTTCCCGCACGCCCCCGCGCAATTGTTCGGCTACGACCCGGCCCGGCACCGTACAACACGGCCCACAGACTTCAATCGCTGTTGGCTAATACGTTACTACCGACCAAGTTCTTCTAGCTCACTCAACCAACACAGAGTCGGTCAGCGGCGTGGGGCCAGGTTGACCGGGATCAATCTTCTCCGCCGTCGCCTGCAGCAAGTCCGTAATTGCCAGCGTAGAGTATCGGAGGTCATAGAACTCAATTGGAAGAAGGCATTGCGAGACCGGACTTCGATGTTCGCTCACCGCCGTGCGGATGATTGTCTCGTATCGTCTCGCCAACGACCACCGCCTTCCACAGATATGGAGGGTGAACGCAAGGGAGTGGAGGCTCGCGGGAACATCTGCATCTAAGGCCTTGGAGTACGCTAACCACCACATTCATATCAGCATCAGTCCTGACCACCTGTGTCAGATGTCGGTAGAAAGAGGGTGGAGAAGGCGGAGATGGCGGAGAAGAAACGACATACCGACATAGAAGCGTGCTGCCGTGAAGATGGGGAAGATCAGATACGGGCTCTGGCAGTCTTGTTGGTCCGGACTAATCCTGCGAACCTTGGCGGCCAAGTTCTCGCACGCATAGACACACCTAGTCGTAGCGAAGGCCCACTGTCATCCGGTTGGTGCTGTTCATGAGGCTGGGCTGGGGACGCATAGGAATTTCACGTACAGGCTCAAAGTCCCTCCCTATCTCCCACGGAAATGGTGCCATCTGTTGCAAGAGCACAATAATGGCTCTGTTTGATAGCTTATTAGGCATCCGGGGTCCCATTTTATGGTACCACGGCAAGGAGCGGCCCGAAAGGTGTGTGGTGTGTGGTTCGGACTCACGTGTTGAGGACACAGTTGGTCAGAGTGATGAACGGTTCCATCTCCCCCTCGGGAAGATGATCTTTCTCCGCGTTGATCAGTCGAAAAACCGCGGCTACGAACTCTTCACGCCACTGGGTGAGTCGTTCATCAAGGCTTTGAGCTGCTGTTTGCCACTCGAGTCTCTTCTCCAGGCTGCTCAGATCGTGTGCCTCGTCCAGAAAGTGGTGTACGGCTCCCAGTTCCTGCAATACGAACATGATACAGAGACAAAATACGGAGGGGTACGGCATCTGAACATGAGTGAACCTCTCAATGAAAGGTTCGCGACGAGACCACGTAGACTCCGAGCAAGGGAGACATGCTGCCGGTGGCAACTTCAAGGTCAACTGGCTGTTGTACGACCCCAAGGAGGTCATGCTATCCAGCATCTCAATCATCCAGTAGGCGCGTATGGACTCTTCTTGCTCAATTACCGGGCTTTCGGCAACTATCCGCGGTACTTGACGCAGCCCAGGTATGCACTCAGTAGCGCCCAGTGCCGCCATATTACGAAGGTTCAGAGACATGGACATCCTGTTTCATATAAGCAAGTCTGTGTCAACGGCTCCGCAGAGACTTTAGAGTTGTCGCAACCTTTTACATACTGCCAAGAGGTTCCAGTATTTCGTCAGGCTGCCCTCGGCGTAATAGTAGATGCTGGTAATTAGCAAGGCTTGCACAGAGTGCAATGAAGATATCTTCATCGCTTTATTCACCACGGCGGCCCGTAGGCCCCGTAGCCGTCCCCACTGGCCTCGTTCTGTAGAGCTCCCGCAGTCCATGGACACGACAGACACTATAGCATCATACACCACGCGATGCCCGGAGTCTGGAATGCTTATTGCCTTGTCAAATGAGGTCTCATGCAAGATAGGAAACCAAGGATGATACTTCGTAAACCATATGGATCGAACCTGGTCCGGCCCGAGGGCTTTTGATACCACGGCGCTCACTTTGTCGGGGATGTCACCATTGGTACTCGAGTTGCCGATGCTTCGGCCTGTGAGGGACTCGATGGACTCCCATGAACCTTGGGCAAAATGGGGCGTGCCAACAGAAGGTTCGTCGAGGGGGGGACCATCTGCCATGTAATCAGAGGTCACCTGCGGCCTCAGATTTGCCAATGATGGCGTTGTTTGTAAGACGGCTGGTAGTGTTGTGGAGGTGTGCTGAATGGCCTGGCTACCACACCTTTCGGAGGCTCTGACCACTTCCAGGTCGCCTTCCACTTTACGCAGTCGACTGTCGATTTCCTCTGCAATTCCCAAGTCAGTCGTCGACGCGTAGAGTGTCAATGCCGTGAATGCAGACGTGGGAACAAATCCCTGGACTACATCGGATATCGGAGTGGCGGGGCCTACTCAGCTGCTGCTCTAACCGCGACACATATCCGGCTCGTAGTCCGGGACGGTGCTCTCTCGACTTGTACTGGCATTCGAAGTTGTGCTTGGCGCACAGGCCGCATTGGGGCCGCTGTCGGTCGCAAGCGACCTTTCGCTGCCGACAAACGAGGCACCTGGGCCATCCTGCATCAGCAACCTATCCAACATAGATGCCTGATTGCCACCACTGGCGTGATATTTGCCTACGCTGTCTTTGATTCACTGGTCATTGCGTGTGATGTCGACGTGTGTGCGAAGCACCATCTCCGGGACACTTGAAGGCCCCCTGGGCCGAGTTCATGCCGAGAAGGGGCGGGATACGCCGAACGTTATATGGGTTTCCAACGAGGTGGAGCGCCGGTAACAAGACGGCCCTCGGATTGTCTACCATAGGCCAGCATCGACTGGCCGTTGGTGTTGGCCGCCGAGTTGATCTCCAAAGCACAGCACCAACGGTCAGTCCGGGAAGAAAAGAGGAGTTCCTAAAGCATGACTCACGCGCCTGCGACCAACTTTCTTGGCAATTTTGTTGTGAAGCTGTCCACACAAAAGGAGACGAGGTTGGGACCAGAGGTCTCTGGGCCCTGACATGCGGCCCGGACGAAGGGTAATGGGCAGTAGTATGGATTGGCCCCCAGTACATCCATGGCATAGTCTAAGAGCTTATGTCAGTCAGACCCGAACCGAGACAGGCAGTGTCTGCATTGCAGCTACGGCTCAAGGCGTGCGTGGATATAGATCAGTGATATCCAGTCAGTCCTCAGTTATACGCCACCCACTCCCCTCGAACAAGTCGAGGAATCTAGTGAAACAGCCAGCGACCATGACAGTCACACTATCTCCTGTTGTCAAAGCCGAGACGTTTGGCGAGGCAGTGACCAGGCTTGCCTTGAAGGCACTGGGTGAGTGATAATTGACATGTTGAGCTATGCGAGGAGAGGGAAAGACACAAGGCCGCTGTTAACCTCCGAGCAGAAATGCGGAAGGCAATCGGTCCTTACGACAGGGTGATGATAGCCATCGCTGGCATTCCAGGCTCCGGCAAGACGACATTGGCTCGAGCAGTGTCGGAGAAGATCAATCACATCCATAGTAGCGCAGGCACCGGGATCTCAGAGGACATGATCTGCAGCGTCTTGCCTATGGACGGCTTTCACCTCTATCGATCGCAATTAGCGGCCATGCCTGATCCAGTTGTAGCCACTCACCGTAGGGGCGCCGCCTTCACCTTTGATGCCCAGCGGTTTCACGACCTCGTGGTGGCGCTTCGACAGCCCGTTCTCGACAGCTCAACGACCATTTACGCTCCCAGCTTCGACCACGCGTTGAAGGACCCAGTCGAAAACGATATTTCTGTGTGTCCCCAGTCACGCATCGTGATATTCGAGGGACTCTATCTCGCCCTGGACCGAGCGCCCTGGAATGAGGCTGCACAGCTCATGGATGAGCTCTGGTTTGTTGAGGTTGACCGGGAGGTTGCTCGTTCGCGACTGGTAAAGCGTCACGTTGCTTCAGGGATCGTTTCTAACGAGGAGGCTGCTGAGCACCGGATATCCAGCACGGATTTCTTGAACGCCGACGATATTCTAGCAAACAGACTACCCGTGCAAGAGAACATCACCACTGGATGAGAGGATGACTGCACAATAATAAACATGGGTTCGGTGACCGCTCAAGTAGCAGAATTCTCACAGCCCGAACAGAGGCTTTCGTAAATGCGTTCCATGCTTCGAGATCAAACAGGCCCGGATCACACTGGCCTGGCCCCATATTAGGCTCAGGTGATGTCTTTTCGAAGAAGCCGTCATCGCATGGACTGGGAAACTCATGCAGGAACAACTGAGGTGTACCTCTGGAGCTCAAATTGGCTAGTCCGCACGCAATATGGATCTACTTACCTGGGAGGTTGGGAAGTAGCTCTGGTAAGCTGGTCGCGGACATTGAGCCACGTTTTCCCTCGCGAAAGAGGGGTGCGTGCCCAACACGTTTACCGAGTCGCCACCGGAGCGCGGCATGAACTACTTACTATAGCAGCACTGTACTGTGACCGTTGGCCTTATACTTGGTCTGGTGCACGGCGTCCTCAACGTCGCGCTCAGCTAGTCTTCAAGCAAATACGGAGTCCATGGGCAGCCAAGTCGGTAGTCAATGCAAGCGAGCAACGCACCAATTGAGTTAGCGCCATCAGGGATGATAGCGGCGCTGATTAACCCTGTAATGGGAGTCCCGTGCGGCCCGCGTGGACGATGCCCTGCGTGGTTACGCGAGGCCGGCGGCGACGACACGGCCCGACCAGTCATTGGTGCTCCCATGCTCAGTTGCTAAATCGACATGCATCTCGTGATTTGCTGCATTCAAAGGCGTATTTCCCCATGGGGATTCTCAATCCAAGGCGGCACTTGCGCGCCCTCACGACACATATAAGATGCTAGGCGAGAACCCATACAGTCACAACTCGGATATACTCACCCACTGCGTCTTCAGCTTCACCTGGTGTGCATCTAAACAGAAGGAAGGACCATACTTCTGGACTCTTTCCATCCTGAGCGCCTTCGCAACCCGCTTCACAGTATACAAAGCTAAGCTCGTTTGATCGGCCTCGCGCAACATGAGTACGGTCAACGCGCCCACCACGCCGGCGGGCACCCACGTCGCACTAGCCAAGCGTGACTGGTACCACACGACCATGTTTAATGTCACAGTTGTTGCCGTCTGTGCCTTCATCGCCCCAGGGCTATGGGCTGCCATGAACGGCCTGGGCGGTGCTGGTGCCGCGGACCCGCACTATGTCAATGCCGCCAACTCGGTCATTTTCTGCCTGCAGCTTCTGATCTGCATCTTCGGCAGTACCCTCATTGCAAAGATGGGGCTCCGGTGGGCATTTGCGTTGGGCATGGCTGGCTTCCCGGTGTACGCGGCGAGTATTTACTGCAATGTTAAGTACGGCAACACCTGGTTCATGATGGTGGCTTGTGCCATTGACGGTGTTACCTCCGGAATCTTCTGGCTCACAGAGGGCGCCATTGTCTTGGCTTATCCGGAGAAGCATCGCCGAGGAAAATATTTGGCCTACTGGCTGGCGAGTCGAATCGTCGGCCAGATGATCGGTGGTTTCGTCACTCTCGGACTCAACGCTCACCGGAAGGAGGTGGGCGCCATCAGCGTCAACACATATCTCGTCTTCATCTCAATTCAGACACTTGGTCCGTTCATCGCGAGCCTTCTTTCCCCGCCGCATAAGGTTCAGAGGTCCAATGGAGTCCCTGTCGTCATCAACTTGCCGCAGAACATCAAGGAGGAACTCGCCATCATGTGGAGGCTGATGTGCCGCAAAGAAATTCTCCTCTTGCTCCCCATGGTTTTCCAGAGCGTCTACTCCGAGGCATTCTTTTCGACGTACAATGCCACATACTTCACCGTGCGTTCGCGCGCCTTGGCTTCCCTGGTTGCCAGCAGCTGCGTCGTCGTCTGCAACTTCTTGTTGGGCTTCTTCCTGGATTGGCGCAAACCCACTCTGAACGCCCGTGCGGTTGGCGCCTTCGTCTTCATTTATGTTTTCGAAACAGCCCTCTACATTTACGCCATGGTCATGACAAAGAAGTACGAGGGCATGGAGCCAAAGCCAGTTTTGACTGGACCGACGAAGGCTTTGGGCAAGGCGTCTGCCTCTACATTTTCATGCTTGTGGGCTTCAATCTCATGTACGACTACTTGTATTGGCTGATGGGCACACTAAACCGCGACGGGGCGGACATCATCCGTCTTAGTGCTGTCATTCGAGGAGTCGAAAGTGCAGGCCAAGCAATCTCATACGGCGTCAATTCGATCGCACAGGATACCTTCCCTCTCTCTGGTGCTGCCGCCGTCAGCATGTCCTTCTTCCTCGCCTGCATCATTCCTTCCGCGTTCGTCGTATTCAAGATTGGCATCGTGGACGGCGTCAAGGTTCATGAGATTATTCAGGACGAGGAGATGCCCGTGGCCGAGACGTGTCCAATGGCAGAGAAGCCAGACGCAAGCCAGGATCGTTCGGATCCCGATACCAAGGTGGTTGAGTAGAGACAACGAAAATCATTACTATGGCAGGCATATGTACTGAGTATTAATAGCAGTCGGCTACGCCTCTTAGTGCTCACGCTTTTTAGTATTATTAGTAGCGACAGCGCATCTCTTCCAAGCGGTAATCGTGAAATGCAATCCACTCCAATTAATACCGCCGCGTGGGCCATAGCACTGCGACTGCAGAGAGAATGGCATTGGTGGTTTGGCAGTGTATGGGCTTCGGGGCGCACGCAGAAGTCGTTGGCGACGACGGCCACTGGCGCACACGCAGGGAATCAAGGGATGTCGTCGTGGGAGCCGCGTCGCTAACGGGACTGTACCATTGCGCGGGGTGCCCAGTGGGCGCGCACGGGAGGTTGCGTGGGCTGCGTCGCTAGCGTAGTATCACCTCAATGCGTGCCGGTTTTCGCATCACAATGACACGTCAACTGACGTCGATTCGTTTTTTTTTTCTTCTCCGCCAAGCAGTATTGAGAGTGCGGTGACTCAATGTGGTGTCACCTGCCACCTGCCATGATCGCCGCCATGTCGATGAATACCCCCCACAGCGGCCTACTTATTATCGAGGCTCGGGCCATGACGATTCCACGTCTGCTCTGCTGTGACAGTAAGTGGTCTGTGGGTGCCGTCGGTTTGCTACGCAATTGGAGCCGCACGGGGCAAACGCCGTCCGATTGCCCCACGCCGCGCTCATCACAAAAGGGCGTGGGCGTCGCATCAAATGTGACGAACGATGCATTGTCTCACCAGTCTGTCAAGTGCCGAATACCGGCGGCGGCGACTCACCTAGCTCTGATCTTATCCAAGTCGCCCTCGGCAGGGTTGTATAGTCTCGCCAGCTCCGCCGCTGAAGAGGTCATCGCGCTCGATAACGACCCACTACCGCGTCCAGCCACACGGAGCACGAGGCGGCTACTTACCCGCTACGCAGAGTTGCTGGAACAGACTCGTGTAGCTAATGAGGCACCCACAGTGGTTACCGGGTTTGACGCCGACACAAAGGTGGAGCCGGCAAACTTGCCGTCCGCACGGCACGCCGGCCGCCCAGGTTGGAGTCGATGGACAACGACAATGGGACCGGACTTGGTGCCGTCTCCACGGCACGCAGACCGACCGTAAGAGATTATAAAGCAGCTGCGGCTTCCATCAAACAGCCAACGACCCACGAAACTATAGGCTTTTTAAGTACAAACTCATCATCCATCCAACATGAGCTCTACGAAAGACACTGCATCTGTCTCTGTGCACGGCAAGTCCTATGGACTACCGCGACGCCCAACTGTGGTTGTGTGCGTTGACGGGTTCGACCCGGAGTACCTACAAGCTGGTGTTGAAGATGGCATCCTTCCGACGATGGCAACCTTTGTCAAAAGCGGGTTCCACGAGACAGCAGACTGTGCAATGCCCTCGTTGACCAATCCCAACAACATGTGTATCATTACCGGGGTTCCCACCAGCTTCCATGGCATATCCGGCAACTTCTACCTGGACAAGGAAACAGGGAAAGAGCACATGATTCTGGATGATTCCACCATGCGCGGGACGACGATTCTTGCCCGACTAGCAGACGCAGGAGTTCGAGTTGCCGCCATCACCGCGAAGGACAAGCTCCGGCGCATCATTCAGCATGGCTTGTCTCCTGAAAAGGGATCAATCTGTTTCTCGGCCCAGTGCGCAAATGAGTGCACGGATGTCGAGCACGGCATACACGGGGTTGAAGAGTGGCTTGGCCAGTCCGCACCCTCGCAGTATTCCGGAGAACTATCTTTATTCGTCCTCGATGCCGGATTGAAGCTCTTGCAAGAGAACCGTGCGGACTTCTTCTATCTGACACTCTCGGACTACATCCAGCATAAGTATGCTCCGCGATCTCGACAGGCGAATGAGTTCATGCACGCTATCGACACGAGGCTGGGCGAGTTTGTCAAACTGGGAGCGGTTGTGGCCGTAACTGGAGATCACGGGATGAGCGACAAGGCTGATGAAAACGGAAAGCCCAATGTCCTGTTCCTGGGCGACTTCCTGGATTCGAATTGGCCAGAGAGCCGCGCCAAGGTCATTTGTCCTATCACGGATCCGTTTGTCAAGCATCACGGGGCACTTGGAGGCTTTGTCCGAGTTCATCTGACCAACACTTCCGTTGTAAGTGACATGATCGCAGCCTGCCGTGAACTTCCTCAGGTAGAGACGGCTCTCACTGGCGAGGAGGCAGCATCTGTCTATGAGATGCCGTTGGATCGCGAAGGAGACATTGTGGTTATCGCCAAGAAGAATTTTGCCATTGGGAGCAAGCGAGAAGAGCACGATTTGTCCAACTTGGAAGGCCATCGACTCCGTACACACGGAGGCTTGTCGGAGCAGCAGATTCCGCTCCTGAGATCAACCGCGATTGAGTCAACGAGCTCCTCAGAGACAAAGAGATGGAGGAACTTTGACATTTTCGATCTGGCGCTCAACTACTAGCTTTACCGCGAGATTAGATATGGCTACGTCTTTCACGACGCATCAAACAGAGAAAAGGTCGCCGCCTGCTCCAAGTCGCCACTGAAGGCGCCAAAACCATCCATGCCAAGATCAAAACCAAGGAGCCCATTCAAGTCCTGAGCCAGATGTCTCTCATGATCAAATTGCTGTGCTCCCAGCATGACGGCTTCTAGACTCCTCGCAATGCCTAACAAAGGATGGCCGGACCGGTCCTCGCCTGGAGTAGGTTGAAGAACTCGAACCAAGTGGCGCAGATGGCTAGGAATGTCAAGCTCGTCGTTGGCGCACGTAGCTCGACTTTGCCTATTGGCGGCTTTCACAAGACAAACCGAAGCGAATGCAATTACCGCTCCGATATAGCAGGGCAGGTTTTGGAGTCGATCTCTGGGCTCGTTGTTGACGCTGCAAACCACAGATAACGCATGTTCCAGGGCGCGGTGGGCGAAATCGTTGCCATCCCCTGGCAATTCGCTGCCAAGCTCCAAGTCTTCTCGCGTCTGGCCCCGAAAGACATGTGAGAAAAGATATAGCTTCGCGGCGTGGTAGTACAGATCAAAGATGCGTCTAGAGGGCTCAGCTTTGCTGGTGTCGAACTTCAAAACCCCAAGCCACTCGCTGTACCATTGCTCATACAAGTCATTGAGGCAAGAGATTTCGGCAAGTCTCTGGGTCGCAATGCACCTGTCGATGTCACCGCCGAATACATCGAACACGCGATTAAATATGGACCAAAGCTCGACTTGACTGATCAATTTCTGATCAGACTCCGATGCGAATGCAGTTTCCAGGAAAACCCGAGGACGTTTCAGTAATTGAAAGTCTCGCGTGAGGGGAAGCTTTCCATGACTGAGAGAGCAGTGGTGATCGCACAAGTACACGAGGAAGTAGAGCCGGGTTCGATCGTAACACTCCCTCTTTGTATGTGGCATCTTAGTAATGCATCTATGAAGATCCAGCTCGGTAGCAATTCTAACGGCTTCCCCGAAAGATTAGCTCACGGACTTTTGACCGGCAGATTTGACCAGTAGATTCAGCTTACCCAGTCCATTCAAGGCTGTCGAGATCTCGGGTAGCCACAATGCTCCAATGCAAAGAGCTCGGACATCGTCGAATTCGTGATTACTGGCAAACACCTTTTCTTGCGCAGTTTGTTGCAGTGCTTGGACGAGAGTGGAGTAATAGGCCGACCCCGAGCAGAATGCAGCAACCGTGCAAATTGCGACTAAAAGCAAAGACGATCTCATCCGAATTGTCAGTAGCGAGTCTGCGTCTGCGAGAATTCCGTGCACATAGTGATCCATATTACGCTGGTAGAAAGCAAAGAGGAACTCGGCAACCTCGACTGGAACTAGCTGCTGTGAAATGAAGTCGAACCCACGTCCAGGCGTTGAGCTTTTGAACGAAGCGTTGGTCATTGAAGAGGCCGGAAACCCTCCCAGACTACATGACAGATTCAGGGTAGCGGGGTGAGGAGAATCTGGTGAGTCAGGGTGAACTGAGCCGTGTCCACCGGGTAGCGAAGACTCCCCGCCGGAAGGCTGAGGTCGAGTATGCCGCATCTGATTGGGAATGTCGGACCGGGCTGCCGCCGGGGCTGACATGAGTTGTTCAAGCCTGGTGAGCCGATCTTCCATTTCCTCCTTCCATCTAGGAACCAGGACTCTGTCAACAGCGGTGTCCAGGATGTCACTTTCCGGAAAAGGGGACTGCGTACGAAGCATCACTTTCTAGGAGAGATTGCAAGCTCTTGTTGATGGTGCAAGTGACTCCCCTGGCTGTGCAACCCATGCATGGCGGCTTGTTACTGTTCATATGACATTTGATCTTCTCACAGATATCAGCTACTTTCAAACGAGGCGCGGCGACAGAATTATACCTTGAGTTTGCGACAGGAAACACAGGCGGTGATTTTTCGCGATATCTCTGGGATCTTTCTATCGCCAAATGACTCGCGCAGGGCCATCGCTGCAGGCATCGAAGGCATTTTCGCATGCGACCGATGGATGTTCAACATGTTTGTTGCTGGACATGCTGCAAGGCTGGACACCTCAATTTCACCACGACGTTCGAGCTCGACCAAGCGACGGCGATCTTGCCGTCCCACCTGAGGGGTACGCGAAACTGCGGTGTTGGTTGCGTCTGACGACTTTATTGGCCCAGACGCAGTCATAAGCACGGGCCAGGCGGGGTCGCGCAAAATGAGGACGATCTCTCCTGTTACCTGCATGTATTTTGTACGCACGGCAACGCACGACGCCTGCTTGGGAGTGGCGACCGTGGTCGCCGACGAACCATGCCGCAACCTTGCTGCTCAGCGAAGGCGCCAAAGCTCGGCAAGCAGAGCGCCAAATGTACGATCAAACATGCGTCACTGTGGCAGGAAAGGCGCCTCCCGCGTTGTAAAGATCAAATGCCGGGCGGCTCTAGGACAGCATCTCCGACGTGACACAGACCACGCACAATGACGCCTTGCACACTGGTGGTTGCACGATGTGGCAAGGTCTGCTGTGGCTCTGTGGCTTTGGTACAGTGGCTCAATAGCTCCGCATGGCGGCTTCTCACACACTCCCCCGGTGAGCCTGGATCCCGACACATGAGACGTGGGGAGAGTAGCAGTAAGGACCTTAGGGTTAGGCATGACGGACAAAGCATGAGATCTCACGGTTCAAGCGAGAGGAACCCCGTTGCGTTGCACAATAGTACCGTCGCAGTGCGTAAGCGCAAATCCTTGCGGCACCCTGCCGCCTCGTTATTCGGGCCCTCTTCAGCGGTGCGAGCCTGTGTTCCTGTTTAAACATGCGCAATTTTGTATTTTCTTATGTTCCTTGCCCCAACCATGGAGAAACACCCGCCGAGGGACCTTAGATTGCGCGCGGGGCAACGAAGCACAGTGCCATTTCTGCGCCTGTTGCAGCAAACATGGTGGCTACTATTTAAGAGAACTACTATTGAATCCGGCGGCCGCAGTGCCTCCAATTGTTGCGGTAGCACCGCAGCCCATGGTACCCTCGATTAATACGGCCGCCGCCTCGTTGGCCATGACACCTTTTGTCTACCCAGCCATCTGGTCTCAATTCCCGGCGTGGGCCCAGCCTGCGGGACGGTGTGAGACATCCGCCTGGGCGTAAGAATAGAGATATGCAACTGTCAAAATAGTGATAAGCAGTTTCACGGCGTACATGAATCGGCCCCTGGAGTACCCCGGGACTTTCGGTCTGCGCAGTGGCCCAGCAGATCTTCCTCTTTTTCTTTTTCTTTTGCAATCAACGGGCGTTGCGGCGAGACCAGGGCGAGCGGCTCCGCGATGGAATGGCACGGCTGGAGGGCCGTTGGCAGGATGCAGCAGGACAACGTAAAACGAGAGCCTGCAGAGGTCCCCAAGAGGCGCTAAGAGCTTGGCGCACAAAAGGCAGTCGCCAGCAGGCCCATTAGCCCCCCTGCCGCATATAGCCCGGGGGCCGAGGCCATACTGGTCGCAATCTGTCCTGCCGTGTCATGCACCGACATTGCCCAAACTTGGGATGGCAAAAACGCGGCCGACACAAGCACCAGCCACGCCTGAATATATATGCTGCGGTAGCAAACGCTGTACTTTCCGCAGTGTCAGCCATGGCCATGAGTATCTATGGTGTCGTTACCTGACTCTGACAGACGCTTCATGGTTGTCTTATGCAAGCCAGCTGCGTGGCTGGGCTACCGTAAGCAGCTGGAACCCCGGAGAGGTCGGAGAACTCGGATGCGCCGGATGACATCCAATAGCACCACGGCTGGATTCTCGTGCAGCACGCAATAATTGGACTTCAGCCCCCGGGTAATTGAATACTCGCTGGGACTGCTACAGATTTCCCGAGGCTGCAGTCCGCCACGTCGTGCAACCGATTCAAGCCATCATGTCTGAGACTGTCGGAGAGACCAGGCATACTTTCTGAAGGGAAATTGAACATGAAGGTGGTCAGCACGTAAAAATGTCCCTCAATAGTTGAATAGTGGCTGAACTTGTCATGCGCGGGGTGATTTTGGCGTGCGCCTCGGACGTATAAAAACCTCGTCTGTTCGTCTCAATGCCCACGCCCATGCATCTCTGCACACACTTCATGCTTTGGTTCGAACCGAATCTAGCCGAGAACAGCAGAAGACAACTCGCCTTGACCGAAATTGCCCCAGGATGGCAGCTGAAACACTCCTGATTACAGGCGCAAGTGGCTATTTAGGAGGCCACCTTATCAAGGCAGCACTGGAGAAGGGGTACAATGTTCGCGCGACTGCCCGAAGCGACTCGTCTGCCAAGAAGATCGCGGCACAATTTCCCCAGAGCGCTGCCCAACTGTCTTACGCAATCGTGCCTGATATAACGAACTTCAAGTCCTATGAACAAGCTCTGCGGGGAATCTCGGGGGTTGTCCACTCAGCATCGCCGTTTGTGCTCAAGCCAGAAGACAACATTAAAGACCTGCTAGAGCCTGCGATACAGGGGTCGCTGGCCATTCTCAAAGCTGCACAGCAATGGGGCGATTCCGTGAAGCGTATCGTTGTCACTTCAAGCCATGCATCGGTGTGTGACCTCTCGAAAGGAAAACGCCCCGGCTACGTCTACAACGAAAAAGACTGGAATCCAGTGACATTCGAAGAGGCTTCAACCGCAGACGGAGTGGTGGCATATTGTGCCTCAAAGGCTGTAGCCGAAAGGGCCATGTGGGATTGGATGACGGAGAATCGGCCAAACTTCGATCTGGTCACTGTCACGCCTCCTTGGATCTTCGGTCCTTATGCAACCGAATTGACAACAACTAAGCGCCTGAGTGAATCAATCCAGATTCTCTACGATCTCTTGAAGGCAGAAGACATTCCGCCGTTTGACTTTGGCGGATTTGCCGATGTACGCGAAGTCGCAGCAGCGCACATACTGAGTTTCGAAACGCCAGAGGCAGGCGGTCACAGGTTTTGGGTTGGCCAGAACTTCAACTACCAGACTGCGGTAGACGCAGCCAGGACGCAACTCCCTGAGTTGTCCCAACGGCTCCCTGAGGGCAGGCCAGGATTCGTGGAGCCAACGTACACTGTAGATGGCAGCAAGGCGGCGAGGGTGTTGGGCCTCAAGTACAGACCATTGGCTGAAACGATGAAGGATACGTACGTGCAGTTGCTACACGCTGAGAAGCTGGAGGGACCTTCTGCTGCGGCATAGCGCCTGTTCAGTGGTCAGCGCATGAAAAGTTGCAACGTCAAGTTTTGCATCGTTGAACATTTGTTCCACAGCAATTGATACAAGTTTTACTTCAAAATAGTAAACGTGTTCTACCAGCTCCCGTGAAGGGGTCGTACCATACCCGGTCATAGAACGGAGTAAGATTGTCTTGAGTGTCATCCAAGGACTACTCGTACCATAGGTGCCTTTGACATTTTGGATATCCCGCATTCCGGAGAACAGTCAGGGACATATACATGTGTCAGACTTAACCCTTGACTCGTAACCATGTACATGATTTGCATCTTATACCAGTCCTCCGGCTTGACAGGTAAATGAAATTCTCTTCCTATAGCCATAGCTTCTGTGGGCCGAATCACCTCATTTATCGCAATGAACTAGTCAGTGGCAAGTGAGATCAGCACTACTGCAACGTATTCAGGAATCTCGTAATCGATGAGCTTCTATTCATTGCATGATAAGTTATTTGGAATCTTTAGCTAACCCTGGTCAATTCGCCAAAATGCAAAATACCCTTTGCTCCAGCGTCTTGTACGGCGAAGTGACGTTTGCCCTCATGATTGCAACGATACGTGCCATCTGGATGGCCCATGTAGACAGCGATGCGATTCCTGTCTATTTCTTCTTACCTCGCAGCGGTTTTGCGAACGGGCGACGCATGTGGTCTTGTCAGCCTCAAACCCCTTGTCTGTTATGAGGAACCATCAGCACTAACCTGACGACGACCTTATGGTGGGAGTCCCACATGGTGTATGGGCCTCGATAAGGACACTATTTAGGTCCGCCGCCGGACGGGCATCGCAAATAGGGATATTGTTTCACTGTCATTCGCACCCTAAGAATCGCATTATCATGGTCAAATAGCCCCTCCAGAACGAAATGTCTACCCCAGTGGCCATCGTTACCGGTGCTTGCTCAGGAATCGGCCTCGCACTCAGCAAGTACCTGGTTCAAACAAGGAAATGGCGTGTAGTTATGGCTGATATCCAAGAGGATGGGTCGACCACGGAGCTTGGATCAGAGAACGTCCTGTTTGTCAAGACAGATGTCAGCTCTTGGGATCAGCAACATGCGTTATTCAAACGCGCCGACGTATGGGCAGGCAGTGGAGGCATTGTCTTCTTAGCTGCCAATGCCGGCCTCTCTGATCCGCCTGCATCTCTTGATGGACTCCTTGGCAAGTCGAAAGAAGACGAGCTCACGCCGCCAACGCTTGACCCCATTCAGGTCAATCTACTCGGAGCCATTTATTCGCTGCAACTGTTCGCGCATTACGTGCGCAGTCGCGGTGGCGCGGGCAAAGCGGTGTTGACCTCGTCGGGTGCCGGCATCTACCCTATGCCAAGTCATCCCGTATACGCAGCATCTAAACACGCAGTAAGTTATTGACAACCACAATCTGGGGCCTGGGGCAATTTCGCGTTCAACTAGCGTTGCTAGGCTACACCGTCACTTGGCGATATGCTTACTTGCAACGCAGATTGTCGGCTATACAAGAAGTATTGCACCCAGTCTTTTGTCCGACTGCATAACCGTCAACACGATCCTGCCCGGATTCACACCAAGCAACATGACAGCTCCACTCCTGGGCGTAATTCCACAAAAATACGTTACGTCACTTGATACGATGATGGCGGCCTATGATGTGTTCCTCAACGACGACTCACAGATGACTGGCCGGGTTCTGGAGGTCTCAGCTAGCAAGACGTCGCATTTTCGGGACCACCCACCGTACCCAGACGAGGAGATCAGATGGCTCAACGAGGAGAGTGCAGGGTTTTTTGCCAAAGCATTTGGGCTGGCATAGATCAGCAGTTCAGCTCCTTTTCTGCGGTTCGTGGACAACTGGGGGCATCACGGTCTAGGGATTGATGTCATATAATGCGATCTGTAGTCGTATTCATGCTGAATAGCTTTAGAATTGTCTCAAGTTTGTTCTTGGACTTCATTCCGGTCCACGGCGATTTTGTGACCGACATATCCTGCCCCTAATTCGGCGGCGGGCCTATCGGAATGCTGTATAGTACGTTAGGCTGAGATATGGGTCTATACAGGCGTACGGCCCCAGTACCATACAGTGAAAGGAGCGTGAGAGAATGAGAGTCAGTCCTTTTAGCAGTTCGTGCAGCTTATATAACCGTCCTGTTCCCAGGCTGGAGTAGCCTAGCGTGAATGCTAACTCCTGTATAATGATGAGTTGCTGGTATATAGCCCGAAGTAGGAGTAGAGCTGTATAAGATATAATATAAAGGAATGCCTAAGTAAAGCCCATGTAAGCCTTCTGCTATTGCCTCTAATATATCCCTAATTCGGTCCTGCTTTTAAGTTGATATATAAGCTGTTCTTAATAATATTCATAGACCTTATTTAGACCTGTATAGAGCAGATGTTAGGCTACGAAAGTAGGGCGCTAGCTGCCCAATTTTGCTTACTGAGATTTGCCTACACTATTGTCGGCCCGAAGTTCGGTCATGCCCTTAATAAATTGGCCCGTGCGAATGAACCTGTTGACGTGGCGCCCTAGGATTGGGCAGTGATGTTTCTCGCAGCAGTTAGGTTCTGCCTTATTATATTAGCCTAGAAGACAGATATTCCACGAGGTGCAGACCGGGGAAGTACACGGAAAACTACGCAGTCAAGTGAATACTATGCTATGGGCACTCAAAATACACCGCTCCACTATGTTAAGGTGTTGCGAATGTGCAATTCAGAAGATCCGCACGCACTTGACTTATGACGGGGTTGCTGAGCAAGAAATTTAGGATCAGGGATGGCGGGGGTAAGACGGGAACCGAGGTTTTGCTGCGACTTTTTATAACCCGCCTTGGCCACGGTATTCCTCAACAATAATTCTGCACGGCCTGACGTTGGCTGCCTAGATGGGGTGACTCACACCATACTCCTGCAAGCGTTTACGATAAATAGCGAGTACCAAACCCAGCTGCGACTTTTTGCAATTGTATTTCCAGGCCAGCAGCTCAAAACAAGATGGCACTTACACGTCAGCACACCGCACTGGCAGAGAGCATTCTCCAGGACCAATTTGGTCTTCAGCATGACACTTTCGTGATTAAAGAAACGAAAGAAAGCAGGCACAATTTTGTCTATTGGATTGACCTTTCATGTCCTCCGTCGGAGCCGCTGGGACCTATCTCTCCCAGGCCTTTCACATGCCCGATTCCCTCTGATACGTCTCGACTAATTTTCCGTCTCCCTAGAGGAGCCGTGAGTTTGGAGGAGTCTGTGCGCATTCGAAATGAAGTTGCTTTCCTCTCTCTGGGACGCAATGCACTCTATTCGATCAATCCCTCTCTCATCTCGCAAGTTTTCGACTGGGCGGACGGCGACGGGACCGAGTTCGGTAATCGCTGGATACTACAGGAGTGGAAGGAGGGACAGACCCTGAGCACCAAGGATGTTGAAAGTCTGGACGACAAGACCCAGCGCTTTGTCCTTGATCAAATCGCGGCCGTTCTGAAAGCTTTCCAGGACTTCCGGCTTCCCGAGAGTGTCAAAGGCTTCGGTGGTCTCACATTTGATGAGGATGGCGTGATGACTAGCACTAAAAGCGTAATACCTTGTGGTGGGCCGTTCTCTAGCTACAGCAACTTTTTAAGGGGCATGCTTGAATGGCAGCTTGAAGCGACCGAGCGAAGCAGTCACCTGCGCGGCTGGCGCGAATATCCCGAGCTGCGAAAGCGACTGCAAACGTTCTTTTCCGATGGGCTTGAGGCTCAACTGGCTCGGGTACCAGAGCAGCAGCAAGTAATGGTACATGGTGACCTGGGTGAGTTGGCGATAAGCTAGTGTTGACGATCGCTGGCAGTGGAGTCAAGGCTAACGTCGACCGCAGCCCTGTCTAATATGCTTTTCGACACGTCGACGTACCGTTTGAGCGCTGTCTTGGACTTTGACTTTTCCCATCTTGGCGCGCCCATCTCTGAGTACTTCTTCTCCTTTTGGGACATAGGGGAGGTTCTGCCAGGGCGCGCGAAGCCAGAGGGGCCCGTTCGAGACTGGCTCCTGAGTGGATTTCCCGAGAGCGTGGATCCGAAGTTTGAACTCCTGCGGGTGTGGGATTATGCGCTCAATGAGGCTGGTGTACAAAAGCCATCAACAATTCATGGCGCGGGCCATGTTGCTGATCTGTGGTGGTTTTCGCAAGAATTATGTCAGGCCTTCTGGTTTACAGACAGATACCTCGCGACCCAGTCAGCAGAACAGCTGGAAAAGTTCAAAACCGGCCATGCCCGCTATCTCGAGAGGGCATTGACACTGTGGGGTTTCTGACTCTGATAACGCGTCTGCTAATTGACTGAACACCATATTGAAATCATCTGGACACGAATGCGCAAAGCTTGGCACGTGTCGGAACTGGCGATACGCCGGAACGTGGACGTTGCCATTAGCCGTACGCGAGCAGGCCTAACGCTACCGATGGAACCGGGCCTGCAAGCGGATGCTAAAGTTGTTTGATACGGCCACGACAGGATGAAACGCGGCGGCATCGGCAGCTGTCTCTGGTGCCTGTTCGCAGGGCCACTGCCTGGCCACATAAGTACATGGCTACTCCGGCTGGTGTGCACCGCCTTCTTCGTGATAGGTTCTGTGTCCTACTTCATCTTCACAAGAAATCTGGAACCACTACAGACGTGAGAGAACACTTAACACCTTATTCTCGAAAACCTCCCAACTCGACAAGAAAGGGGTGCGGACAGCGAGCCATTCCGGCAGACAGCACTTGGGCTCCGCGTGAGAACTAGACCCGTGTTGGACAGCATGCAGGGCGCTTAATTTAACTCTGTATACAATCCACGTTGCAATGTACTTGCGATCCTGGATACGAACAAACATGCTTCTTGCTGTACTAGTGAGTCGCCGGACAGCGGCGATGGGCAGCGGTGGACTCTTTGTCAGCTTGAAGTAACTTGAAGTCAGCCACTGAGAATGCCTCAATCTGTCGCGACTCTGCCTTGCCCCTGCCTGCCCGACCCCGCGGCGCAGCAGCGTCCCTTGGCCGGTATCCGTCTTGGCAAACGATCAAAGGGGTGTTGACACAAGCCAAGGGCCAAGCAATTAGGGCAGCCGCTCACAACGCCATTTTATGAAGTAATACATCCACGCGACCAGGTCTCGAAGCGTCACCCATGAGCGGCTTCCTCGCGACATCGAGGGGGAAGCTCGGGATGCAGGCAAAAATGGGGGCGTCTTCCCCTCGTTTTAGCGCCACTCTAATGGCCGATAAGACCAGTGGCGTGCGCTGCCAAAAGGCCCAGATATTCCAATATCCTTCTGGAGCTGACGTCGCGAAGCAAAGGGACCCTGCTTCTGCATTAGGCCACCCAGCCACATTTAACCAGCTCCGTGGACAGTGTCACGTATCATCATCCCTGGCGACACACGTTTATCGAGCGACCGGGCCGCTCATCAGATCATTCCTCCACCATCCCATTGGGCGCCAATGGCTCCGCTCTGGACCTTGCCAGGCCTCCGCAAATTGCCCGAAGGAGCGGACACATCAGAGTGCGTTCGTCAATGGGACAACATGGGGTCTCAAGGCAGCTCGCATCATCCGCGGGCTTAGTGTTGTCAACGGCCTCGCCATCCGTGTGATGCACGAACCGAGACGTCCTCATAGCCGAGGTGAGGGATCACGAGACGCGAATCCCAGCGTCCAAGAACGCCCCCTGCTAGTGTGCGGAAGCGACCGCAACTCCTCTGCAGCAGCGCTATCGCCAAGCCCCTGTGAGAGCAAGGCCGATCCGGGGAGGTGGGGACTCGGACAAGGGGGCGAGGCGCCACTCAGAACATCACACTTCCACTCTCCACTCCTGAAGGTGTGCGCTTTAAAGTCGCCTCTCTGGATGAATTGATTCCACATCTGCACGAGTCGTGCGTAGGGAGCGCTGAATACAGCTTCGCGTACAGTATTTGAGAAACAAAGATGTCAAGCTCCTTGTTCTGTTGGGCATGATAGTGGCGATTCTTTTCATCGGCAGTCCGCACGTCAAGTAGCGGAATCTTCCCGCCCCTTTTCGCTCAATGGCGCATGCCGGCTTTGCCGCACGAGATAACACCCAACTCTGAGGACCGATCTAGACGCATTGAACCTAGGCTAGCACGAACGAGGAAGTTCTGTACCGGTTAATACAGACCCCTGACATATCTTTCACCATGGCATTGCTGGTTAACCCGCCTAGTTCGCGGTCATGCGTCGTTTCTGGGCAATACCACCGGGCGAATCATAATGCCCACACCTCAGTGAGCAGCATACTGCGCAGGGCTAAAGAAATGAGAAGTGCTTGGTGGTTCTTATATAACGACACAGTCTGCCGATGGTCTCGCAGGGACACTGCTTTCACTGGTCCTGCTCGTCTTTGTCACTGCTCACTAGTCAGCAAGAGCAACGAATCATGGGTATGTAAATGTGCCCTTCTATGGTGGGCCTGCTAATGAGAAACAGAGGAGAAGACTGTGGACCGAGTCGGCGCCGACGATGCCGTTCATTCGACCGACGAGAAGCCGTCCATCGGCGACGGCGAGAAGCATCCTCCGACGTACGATGTGGCCATCCTGAATGCCGACTACGAGGGCAAACCAACCGAGGAAGAGCTGGCCACCCTACGCCGCGTTCCTGGGAGCTTACCGACGGTTGCCTACCTCCTCTGTGCCGTCGAGTTTTGCGAGCGCGCATCCTATTACGGTACGGGCTGTACGGGCTGCTTGTGTACGACTCCGTACTAACAGTCCTCCAGGATGTGCCCAGATCTGGACCAACTACATCAACCGCCCTCTGCCGAAGGGCGGCAACGGCTACGGAGCGGTGCCGAGCGGAAGTCAAGCCACCCAGGGCGCCCTGGGGCTTGGCGAGCAGGTGGCGGTATGCCAAGCCGGTCCAACATGTCACTTAGTCCACGCCTTGCTGACCCCCCCTACAGAACGCCACCAGCCAGTCCTTCAACCTGCTGGCCTACTGTCTCCCGCTCTTCGTCGGCTACCTTGCCGACACAAGGTTCGGTCGCTACAATATGATTTTTTGGGGTGTGTTGGTGTGCGGTGTCGGGCATGTGCTCATCATTGCCGGCGGCGCGAAGCAGCTCATTGAGAACGGGACTGCGAAGATTCCCTTTTTCATTGGAGTCTACATCCTCGCCATCGGAGCCGGTCAGTAACAGTTCGATACATGGCCGCCGCTAGTCTACTGACAATTGCATCACAGCCATGTTCAAACCAAACGTATCACCGTTGTTGTTGGATCAAATGACCACTCATGTTCCCAAGGTCGTCACTCTCAAGTCCGGCGAGCGGGTCATCCAGGATCCGGAACACAGCACGGAGAGAGTCATGCTCTGGTTCTATCTTTTGATCAACATTGGCGCCTTTATGTCGACTGCGACCTCCTATTCAGCGCGCAATGTTGGATGGTGGCTGGCATTCTTGCTGCCTTTGATCCTGTATATCCCCCTGCCCCTATTGCTTATCTGGCTGAAGCCCCGGCTGGTTCACCATAAGCCTGGTGGCTCGGACCTTCCGAATTTGATGCGCGTCATTAGCCATTGTCTGAGGAACGGTGGCATCTTCCGCATTGGCCGACGTGGGTGGTGGGACGCCGCGAAGCCCTCGGTCATTGCGGCGAAGGGCTTGACGCCGGAGACGCACTATAACGATGCCTTTGTGGAAGACGTTAAACGAACCATGCAAGCCACTGGCATGTTTTGCTTCTTTCCTGTTCAGTTCTGGAACGACAATGGGTATGCTCTACCCAGCCCCCTTCTAGCGAGTTGAGACGATGTGGCGCTGACTCTTGGTCATATAGTATTGGAAGCTCGGCCAATTTTCTGGGCACTATGCTCACAGGCAATGGCGTTCCAAACGATGTCATTGGCAACTTCAACTCACTCAGTATTATTTGCCTCGGCCCTGTTCTAAATGTAAGTCTTTCCGCTTAGTCTTCTTCTTTCGTCATATCCAGATCAGTGGCGTCCTTGTGCAAGTCTAATATGCCACGTGAACAGTACGGACTGTACCCGCTGCTTCGAAAGTCCAAGATTCGCTATGGCCCAGTTGCTCGAATCACGACTGGCTTCTTCCTTAGCACCATCGCGGGTGTAGGATACTGCGTCCTTTGTTATAAGGCCTACCAGACGAGCCCTTGCGGTTGGTACGGATCGTCAGACCCTCTATGCGTTGAAGAGGGGCTGGTATCGCCAATCTCGCTCTGGTGGGAGGCTATTCCGTATGCCCTTGGTGGATTCTCAGAACTCTTCATCAACGTTCCAGGTATGACCTTGAAAGCGAGTTGGAAGTCCCGCAAAGTCTCGTTCATAGACTGATAAAGATACAGCGTACGGCATTGCCTACTCAAGAGCGCCTATTAACATGAGAGGCCTTGTGTCCGCAATCAATCTATTCAATACCGGCATCGCTTACATCGTCAACTTGGCCGCTTCGGCCGCGATCGTCGACCCACACCTCGTCTGGGACTTTGGAGCGCCAGCCATCATTGGAGCTGTCGTTACTGTGTTCTTTGTAAGAACTCGCCATCGATCGCTACTCATAATTTCTCTGATGCTTACCTTTTTCTAGTACTTCACCTTCCGTCATATCGACAAAGAAGAGTACGTTCTGTCGACGAACCAGACCAGCGAGGTCGAGCCAATTGAAGGGATCGGGGCAGAACACAGCGATGAGAACGTTCAAGCCAAGGTCTGATGTAGTAAACGTACGGCGAGAGTACAAGCCCAGATTTGGGCGTCTCGTAAGCCAGTGTAAGGCCGGATGAAGCTCCGTTAATGGAAAGGGGTCTAAGCGGACCCACGGCGGTATAGCTAGCAGTTGCACACCCGACAACATGTTACTACGCATTGGACACTTGTATTGTGCTCTCTTGTGACCAGCCCAGCTAGGTACCCTGCAGACAAGACCAGCATCACAGACACAGCACCCCAGATGACGCAGCACAGTCGCCGACTTCCATTTCGGTGCTAGTAAGGGAGACAGTAGTAGATACTGTAGCATGTTCCGTAGCGAGATCCCGAAAAGAGTTGATGCTTGTCATCTTTGAAGCAGTTGAACTTCCTATACCCATTGGAACCATACCTGTCAAGTCGATCAGTGGATGTTCTCGGGAGGACCCCATTTACTCGGAACCAAATACACACCCGACATCCGAGTAGTCACCGACTCCGGGGGCCTGAGCCACGACTTCAATATTGAACTTGAACTCGACACCAGTCGGGAACTTGCAGTATTCGTATATCCCCGTCTCCCAGTAGAAGTAGGGGCCATAAGACATCAGGCAAACGTTGTCAGACGGGGGCTGGGTAGGGTTATGGTCGTCTGCGTAGTACTGTTGCAAGAATGTGAGGACAAGTGGATGCAACAATAATACAAGGTGCACTTACAGCAACCATCGATATCGGTTGCGGGCCACCATTGCAGTTTACAAGATGGATTGCCTCGCCAGCAGCAAACGTGGTAAGGAAAAGCGATGAGAAAAGAGCAGTGAGTTTCATATTGGCAATTATAGCGCAGTAGTGTCACTTCTTGCATGGAAGACGCTCAGTAGAGGTAAACTTGTGTTGCAATATATATCGCATCATACTAATTGTGGAGGCTTTGACGGTCCCATTTGTGCCATTGAACAGCAATAAGCTACACTCCGAAAAGCATTGGGCTAGTTGTCTAAAAGCTGACACCATGACGAGGGAATTGGAGTGAATTGGGTTACATGCTGCGCTTTCCCCTTTAGGTTTGAGCAAGGGCGGTGTTCAGCATGTCAGCGTATATGGAAACAAGACTTATGGAATCAGCGTCAAGAAAACCTACAAGGGATACACCGATATCATGATTGATAGCAGACCTCGTATTGGGTTTTCAGTCATCCAGGATTGCGACCAAATAGGTTCCAAGAACGTCATCCATCCTAGATGTCGACACTTTGCGATCTGAGTATAGCTGTGCATGCGGACGGCGTGACACTCAGAGTCGGCGCTCGGTGTTTTCGTCTGAGATAGACAATGACAATGGCCGAAATACATTGCTTGGCCCTGAACCGCTTCCCCCACCGCTGATCCTCGGTCTTGACTGCTAGAAGTTGGAGTGGACGTTAGACTACTTAGTGGAACAGTGGTCACATGCAACAATGCTGGACATGTGTTTGTCGTGGGTGTCGCTATGCTCCTTACTTCCGCAGTAATCGTAAGGGCGGCCGGCAAATTCGGGTAGTCGTCGATTAAGGGATCAGGACCGCAAGCCCGGTGGGAGTAGGTTTGGTCGACTCCAAACGTCACCAGAGCCACCAAGCGATATCTTGTTTCGGGGCTATTTGAAGCCCAACGGTCAGTAAGAGTGTTGGCTTAATCAGGGGGAAAAGAGGCCGGTCCAACACCAAGTGAATGATAAGAATAACTTGTCGGGAAAGCCGAACGCACTTGAACTGCGATGACCTTCGATGGAGCTGCCGGCAAGCCCGTAATCGCTCCGCATTATGGAACCAGCTGGGCAGAAGCGCCAAAGGCCGTTTTTTGCATCCGTCCGGCAGTTGAACCCAGTTCCACCGTAGTTGGGTTTGACCGGTCGACATTGAGGAAGCCGCTTGTAGACGAATGCGAGACGGAATCCCGCCTTTGGAGCAGGCTGCTGTGGCATTCCAAACCAATCATGTCCTTCACACTGTCCCATCGCCCCCCTGCACTGACGAAAGCATCAATGGTTCATACCTCAAAGGTTGAGAAAAGTGATTGGGATAACGCCGTGAAAGCCACCGCAATTCGCTTGATACAATACGCAATTTGCGCCGGGAATATCCACAAAATGGTATTTTAATGCCTCATAATAGATTGTCGGTGACAACAAAGTCAGCTGCAGCTCAGCTGTTGTTGTTTAACGTGATGAGTGGCTCATTTCAGCTGAGGCAGGCAAGCTACTCTACAGGCTGCGCCAACGTCCAAGCATTGTCCGCGGTACGGTGCTGGTCCCCTGAGTCGAAACTGAACCGGGCTTTGTCCCGTCTGCTTGTCACGAGTTGATTGGATGCAGAGTCCGCCACGCCTCCATAAACTCCAATCGCAACGTGAGTCGCTGCCTTCTCAGGATGTGTACTATTACTTGTGTCTATCGTAGCAGCGCGGTGCTTACTGGCGCATGTGGAATCATGAGGTGCGGACGGAATAGTTGCTAGTGACAAATCAAACGGTTAACATATCGCTAGTAGCTAGTCGACTGTTCTGCCCGCAGGTTTATGTAACTTCTCTTACACTATTAATAGTACGCCAACCACGTTTTAGATTGCCACAAATGTGGTGTGCTTCCATCTTCTTGCTGTAAGTATTCCAGCAGAAAAGGTCAGCAGTGGCTAACACAAACGTCACTGTTTACTTGGGTAATTTCACCTGGCCATTGTCCTACCGCATGACGGAACTGCATAGTAGCTCTTGATAGGCATCATGACAGTCTGAAACGCCGGGCTGTTGTCATCTCTACCTAGGGCAATAAGGTCATTTAATGCACGTATCCACTCTGGGCGTGGCGCCTGCATGCAACATAACGGTTTCAGTAAGGCGTAGGCGTTTGAAAAGCTGCCTATGAGCGACGCGGTGGGAAAATGTGTTCGGCGCCAGTGTTGCTGTTGATGCCAGAGAGTGCGACCCAAGGTCCTTACTGTAGCATTTGAAGTACAGGTACGCATGTGTTGCTTTGCTGCTCTAGTATTGTTTCTTCTTAGCTTTAGCGTCAGGTAAACTCTTGAACGAGACACACCTGGAGCACCAGGTGGCTCAGTGTCTAAAGCGCTGCAGTGGAAACCATACGCTTGGAGGCTTCGGAGACTGAGTTGTTTGGATTATGTCGTTTCATCGCCTCCTTAATGGGTTGGGTCAGGCCGCCGGACCGCTTGCCTGACTGTAGGGCTGACTGCTCTGCCGTTGCCAGCGCTGAGCCAGTTTATGGTTAATTGTGTAGCTCGGCATTTACCCGGTCGAAATATGAGCAATGTGATTTCTTCGTGTAATAAAGTAGTGCTTCATGTGGTTAGAACCTTAACAGTAAGTCTATTAGAAGATCTTTGCGTGGCTCGTGTTGTCCCTGTCACTGTCATCTCTGCAATGTGGTTTTAGGCTGAACTGCTTTCTAGAAGGGCCTCGACCATCACACTAGCCCCTAGTCCTAGATTGTAGCATACCTCTCCCTCATCGACGAGAAGGATCCAATGATTACAGTGCATCCGTTGCACTCCAGCCATTTCGTCAGACGCTATTGAGGTTGGTGGCTGCTCCTATTGAGCACTTAAGAAAGTCGCCGCCCTCGTTTATCATCAGTTACACTTGACAGCAAGTTCAACAGAAGAAGCCATCAAAGGCGCACAACCTCATTTGGTACCCGCAGGATGCGTTACGATAATCTGCTCGGTTTTATCCTTCATCTTGCCACCGTTGGCAGGGTGTTGGCAAACACCCCTATTCATGAGAGTCAGATTAACAAGCCCGGTGGTAATTGGAATCTTGCTGGCTCTTCTGCGCCGTGAGAACTTCGCCCCCTGATCGAGGAAATTGTGTTCTTGGAAGTAGCTAACAGAAATGGCAATAGTGACTGGCACTTCTCTTTCACTGAGCCATGCTACCCTACTGCCGCCTTCTACGATAACGGAGAGATGCATAAACCTGGCCTGACCGAGTGTGGCCCTCCGACACGTGACGTCAAGGGTCGCGCCCATGATTTCCCTACCTACTTTCTGACACGGTATTGTGACTACGGTAACGGACACGCTGAATGGCATGTGATGTACAACGTCTATTTCCCCTGGGTACGACTTCTACCTCACTATCAAGTTCATACTGGTAACATACCTTGTAGAGTACGAACTCGGTCGGTGGCCACTACCATGACTGGGAGTGGCTTGTTGTCAAGTGGGAGCCTCAGCCCAATAACCCCGGCTACTGGCATCGGAAGAGTATTGTTCTTGAAGCACACGGCAAGACTAAAGAGTATAAATGGAGCGACTATCCTAATACCGTGAGCGCGAAGTACGTTTACAGCCCGTGGAACACCTCGTGGACTATAATAAAACTCGCTGACGGATATAATGTAGCGACCGAACCTGGCGCAAAGACGCCTCTCACCCCGTAGTCGTCTTTTCCAGGGACGGTCACGGGCTTACTAGCAGTACTAGTGATCTTGGCCAGTGGTATTGGGCTGATGACTGGCTCGCTGATGGCTCAAACTTCCCAGCCCGCGATTGGGGTGATGCAGACTCTCCCCCAAACACCTTCGAAGCGTATGGCAGCCACGATCTATGCTGGGCAATGTAGACGAGACACAGGTCAAGGTAGTTGCACGCGAGACGCGTCTAACAAGTGCGCCGCAGCAGGGCCAGACTTGATGAGCCAAGTCATTGTCAGGCAATCTCATTTTCATTATCGGCATAGGGCTTTTCTACGTAGCTGTGTCCTGTTCCGTGACCTGCTTTCGAACAGCGACTGCAATACTAGCATCGGAATCTCTTTAACGGGAAGCCTTCCGCGTCGCAGACTGTCCCGTCTTTGCTCCCTTGCTCTCGGGGACTATTTCAGCACACACCCGTCTGCATCAGGCGACAATAGGCAGCAAAAGCACCCACTGCGCCAGTGTTGCGTCTTGAGCATGAAATACATACGACGGGGCCACACAGATCCCTGGCGCGGCCGCAGTGAACATGGCCACAGCGAAGGTTCCAGTCAGCAGCGGAGGCAGGACCTTATACATCAGGCGGCAGGCTTATTGTACTTACATGCGGCGTCACGCGGACATGTTCGAGGTGCCTGGCTGTCCGATGGCCTATGCTACCAACCTGACTCGAATGCTGGTGGCTTCAGTCCTGCCTTTGATGTCCTGCGTCCTTGACCCGCAGTGTGCCGGACGAAGCGTCATGTATTCTCATCGCAGATTCTTGTCGCAGCCTCGCATCGATGGTCAATTGAGCTAAATTTGGAAATGCACCCGGCGTCATTCTAGCGTCCGGACATCTCCTGCGCCGGGAGTTGGCTGTGCCAGCCTTGTCTCTCCTCTGCTTCGTCATGATTGGCAGCTTCCATTTTGGGCGCATCCAACTTCTCCAGTTCCCATTTCGATACACACGCCAAAAGCTCCAACGCGGAAGAAGCTTCCACTAGTGCAGCGCCATCGCGAACTCCAACTTGGACCATATCAGTTGAGGAGAGGTTTCGACCCGAGTCCGCGTACCATCGCCGGGCCCGCCACTAAATCCGCCGGACCTTCGAGACTATTCTGCACTGGACATGCGAAACTATCTGCTAATACTGCTACAGCTATTGGGCAGTATAGTCGCAGCCGTAAAGCTGGTCAAGCCCGCGTCCTGTGCGATCTCTATAGCTGAGGACACTTCGAATGACGGAACTGGGAACATCCTTTCGGCTCCGCAACCCGATCTTAAATGGCCGATCTTGAAAGGCACGGCATCCGGTACTTCTTCCAACCTTCCATATCGTCTATCAACCCTTCTTATAGCAACCGCATCCGCAAATTCGCCAATCTTCCCAGCCTAGCTATCGTACCCCTGCTTCAACTCCGCGACGAACTCAAACCCTCGAGAAAAGTGATCGTCAATTTCCTCAACGATATCGCGCTCTGCTCCAGTAGAATCCTCGAGTCCGTGCTTCAACACGAGCGACTGATGAATGCGGCCATGACTTGCGCCATGGCTTAGACGTCTGTTAGTAGGGACCCGACGTTCTACGATGTCTAGGTTGCTCGCGGCATTCACGGCGACTCCTTCAATATTCTTGCCGACGGGGATTGGAATTCCGCGGGGAACCTCATTGGAACGCCGAAGACGATCTGCCGTGGCGATTATACTCAAGTCGCGTCTTTCCTGTCTTTTTGTGCTGGAATAGTATAGCGCCTTATTGTCGTTAGCACGGGCGTAGTGCTGAAATACCGCGCCCGCTCCAGGGGTCCGAATACGAAGAAGGGTGAGTGCGGCCAAGATGAGCCGCAACTGTTCTACGAGGGTCTTAAGTTCCACAGATTAGGCAAAGCGGCCGCCATACCAGCCGCGAACCTCGAGTGTTGCGTGGACCGAGGTAGGCAGATCAGGGCGGCCAAGGGTTTCACGGTAGCGAATGTGGCCTGGCTGAAGATTGACGTCGAGGACATGATCGAGTGGCGGCCGCCACCAGAGAAGGTGAAATGCATGCCGACGTGAGAGAATCAGTCCTGGCTGCTATGGCACGAGTCGCTAGCGTACTGATTCCCTCTGGCCTTTTGACTTTAGAGTTGACGTGGCGCGTATGTGTCTCCAGCTCTCGGCCGACTCGGCCGACAGCAGTGGGGCAACGCTGTTGCCCGCTGGACATTTAATGGACATCACCATTCATTTCGTATCGCTTTCGTTGTCTCAGGCCATTTCTCGCTTCCTATCGGACATAACTAGGGTCTACAAGCGCCGCTTGCTTCATACGAGTTTTCCCTGCAATGAAGGTTCTTATCGTCGGTGCCAGTGGCATGATCGGTGGCGAAGCCCTCTTGCAGTGTCTTTCTGAGTCACGCATCTCCAAGGTCGTCGCATTTGTGCGACGAAATCTCCCTGCGCAGGTCTCTGAGCATCCAAAACTCGAGTGCATTACAATCAAGGACTTTGCGATATGGCCAGAGGCCGTGTTACAAGCTCATGCAGACGCGGCGGCCATGATTTGGTGAGTGCTGATCAGATATGTTGGCTCCAGTCATCTCGCTGGCGCTTGGCTGACTCGGGCATCGAGGGCGATGGGAACTTACACGGGAAACACTGCGGCCGACTTGGAATATCCTCTTGTATTCATTGAATCCATGGCAGAGACCCTGAAAACTGTGTCCCGCGCGAATCGATTCCGGTACATTCACCTGAGTGGCAAATTCGTCAGACAGGATCAGGAAGAGAAATTGTGGTTTCTAGAGACACCCCGGAAATTGAAGGTGCGCTTCATTCCATCCTCATTTCTCTATTAAACTGACGCAATAACAACAGGGCTTGATGGAGACGAGAGCACTCGAGTTTGCCGAGAACAACGCGAACATTTGGGAGACATTCATTCTCAAACCTGGTGGCGTTGTAGCCAAGGATCCACTAAAAGGCATCTTTACCTTCTTGACCGCCACGGGCGTAATACTGGGTAAAAACTGGTCCGTTCGAGTCGAAGAGCTGGGCGCATATATGGCCTATCTTGCTATGGGGGGAGAAGAGGAACAGTCTCTCATCAATAACGCACGAATCGTCAGGAAGGGGCGACAAACGTTAGATTCGCGTACAGATAGCACCTGATTCCTGCCGAGAGGCCCGTTATTGGCGATAGATGGGGCCGTTCATTGCTGCCGCCTCGGACTGGAACGGGCCGGCGGTGCTGCAACCTCCCTTCCATTGTATATCTACTCATAACGCCGCCAGGTGAAGTACATGCATATCGTGAAGGACAGATCTACTCGGCCCAGACCTGGTGTGATGGTGGTTGCTTCCGGCCCAGCAGCGGATAGAGTTTGTGAATCAGGCAGAGCGCAGGACTCTTCAAGCCAAGGAGCGGCTGTATGGAAGAGACGATGATGTCATCCATGCCAGAAGATATCGAATGAGACCTGTCCTTTTCGTGTACTTCGGCGTCCAGCACCTCCTGCTCCGTCAGGTTGGCGCCACAGTCCACTGGAGTGTGCGAGGCGCACACATCGCCCTGTACGCCGCTGCTAGCTTGGCACACCATAGCGGACAGTATCATAGATGCTTGCCTGGCCACGTGGTAATTGTGCCACGACTCTCCAGCAGCATGTAAAGAAGCGATGACCTGGTCGAGCAGGGTTCGGTCCGAGTCATAGGTGACAGCTGCAGCGCCAACGCGTTTACTCCGAGGCACTGTCTTGGCCAGGATGAGAACTGCTGCGGCAGTGAATGCGGATTGGTCAATGGTTCGGCACCGGGACAGTTGAGCTCTGGCATGCTGCAGACCCAAATATTGCTGGAGGCCGGCCCGGCAGGCCTCCATGCAGCGTTCCAGGCTCTGAATCGCATCGTCCGTGATATCACCGAATGCGGTGGGTAGATGTGCATACATACGAGTCTGAAAGAGCCACAGCTGACATATGAGTCGACTGGGCTCCTGCGCGGAGTCAAGTGACCTTTCTTGAGGAAGCGATGGGCAGTTCCACCACGAAGGGGGAACAGAATCCTGGATTTTGCTCAGTGACTCGTCAATATTTCTCAGAGCATCGCGGTTCCGAGCAAGACCATTGGCGTTTCTCTGTGCAATTTGTGCCACGACCAGACTGATGCGACGCTGAATTGTTGCCTCGTCGCCTGCAATGGGATCATTCCAGCTCTCATCAACTCCGCCGAACGGATCGACGCCAAGTCCCGGCTCGAGTCCAAGAAGCAGACTGCAGTAGCAGGTTCCAGATACAGTTGAAAGCCATAATCGACGTTGCAGGGCCATGTCTGGAGAATCTGAATCGCGAGCAGACAAAGAAAAGCTGCTCGGAAGACCTATCAGACGGGCCACATCAAGCGCCCTCCTGAAGGCCATCCACGCACTCCGCATGGCGCCATTGTTCAGATGCACCAACGCAATGAGTGTCATACACTCTAGACCGTCAATCGAGCATGCTGTGTCCTCGTCGCAGAGGACGAAGGACTTGACTTGGGCGACGAAAGCTTCAACTGTTTTTTCGATATCCCGATACCTGAGGAACCGCGTGTCAAATGTGGCCGGAAGTTGCTGCATGTATAGGGCAAACAAAAGTAGCGCTTTGGCGATATGCACTGCGCTACCTCTGGACAAAGCAGCAGTGTCCAGTAGCCGGAATGTGTCGTCTGCGTTCAAGACACTGCCAGATGGATTCTCGGCCCCCCAGAGCCAAGCGGTGGTGTTTGTGACGATGGACATTGCATCCTGCATAGAAGGCAAGAGAAGCAAAAGAGCCTGCCTTATGTCGGGAGGGATGAGGGACGGGTCCGTCGTGGCGTCGCGGTCGTCGACGTGAAAGTGGGATTGATCCGTTGCCGAAGCGAGCTGGTGCTCGTATGGGACTGATGAATAGCCATGTTGCGACGGACCTGCCGAGCCAACAGGTCGAGGGCTGTGTCGGCGAGGAGCGGCGACCATTGAATCGGAGGTGGATGAACTGCCCGCGGCCAACTGGTGGCCGTCTTGTGCTGCGACCAACTTCATCAACAGAGTCTCAATGCGATCCAGCCTCGATGCACACTCGTGCTCTCCACGATGAGCCGCACGGCCTCCGTCGCTCAAATTGTCCTGGTCTGGCGGTCGAATGCTGCATTTCGTCCCGCTTTTGATGCATTCGCCGCATGTTTCGACAGCTTGCTCGGTGAGCTCACATTTTACCTTGCGCTTTCTGCCTGTACGCCGCCAGTCAGTTCAGCCTGTGCGACCTTCTCGGGGATGGACGCATACATTGGTAGCAGCTTCGAGTGTCACGCCGCAATCGTTTCCGTGCGGCGCCCGCGAGTGTGTCCATGCTTTTTTACTCGGATGACGCACCTGTGCTGTGCTTATTAGCTGTGTGGCGGGCTGGCAGCGAGAGGGGCGGCAACGCGACAAGGTGGCAGCGACGTGCCGCCAGAGAACAGCGCGGCAGCCGAACGAGAGCGTCAGGTGAGCCCTCCGGGGCAGTTGGGCGCCACAGGGGCCATGGCACCACCACCTATCTCGGCAATGCCCGAGTTCGCGGCGCCTGGCGACAGCTGAGGCTGGAACCTTGACCATGGACTGCAGCCAGATCCTCGCTTCTCATGAGCGGGGCCTGCATGTGCCGTCAACGCCAGTCATCCAACCCATGGTTGAGCCATATTCTCTCAATCAACATGGTGGACCAGGGCTCTTGACCAGCGGCCGTCTCTAATTTCGCATGTCATGTCGCTACCTCTCCAAGCAGGGTTGGCACTGCCACACCACTGCTATCTTGGGCCGGGCCCGTAGCAACTGCCAGGTGAAGCCATTGCGGCTGCCAGGACACTGGCTGCGGCAGCAACTGACGCAAGCCGCCATGCGCCTGCTGGGCTGCACGAATGATTGCAGCCAGCCTACCTCGGCGGGAAATGAAACATCGCCTCTCCTGAGCCGCAGAAGCGATAAACGCCAGCGACCATCGCATTGATTGCGAGAAGGCATTGCCCCTGCGTGGTGGCGTGTGGCTCGTGGTAGAAACTGGCGCGCGCCCGCGTGGCGCTGTTTTGGCGGTCGCGGACGGCACTGGGGGGCTGAGGCCGCAGGGGCTCCTCCTTGTTTACAAGATGGCAGCAGTGACGACTGCCTAATAAGCGGGCTTGCAGGCGCGACCATGGGGACGTGCTGCTGCGACTGGACGCACCTCGTGGGCGAGCTCCGGTTTGCTAGCAAACGAGCTCTAGCGGGCCCTTTGGACAATGGCAGGGGCCTACGAATGCATGTGTGCGAAATGCCACTTTGACTTGGCCGCGACTGTCCAGCGTGCTGCCCCAGAGCGGTATTTTGCCTGGAAAGACAGACGAAGTATAGTGCAAGAGAATCTGAAGGGAGCACGAAAGAAATACAATCAGCATAGAGCCAGTCTGCTTGTGAAGGCATGAAACTGAGCGAATCAACGTGTTGCGCTACTAGCTAATGATAAGCGTCCCACGCGCCAGCGAGGCACTGATGCCCCGAAACAGCTGATAAACATAGCGGGCAAATGCTCCTATGGAGCCCTAAGAGCGAGAACACGAAGTCCACAGGTCATCCTACCCCGCGTCACGCCAAGTCGCCTAACCAGAAATCCGCATTTGGGGCTCTCAGACTACGCAATTAGGTTCGATAGCCTGCAAGGCGTGTAAGTGTCATGATGCTCTTATCAGGCGAGGGAGAGTCCGTCGTCAGCTTTTTACCTTGTAAGCCCCGGCCACATTGCACGTAACTCGCCATTCACTTGACTTGGGGGAGCGTTAGCCTATATCAACTTTCCAGGTGGAGTGGACGACCGCCATGTGAGACGAATGGTAACGCACCGCAGCCTGCCTAACATTGCGTGCCTTGTCAAAGGCGTAGTTACAGCACGGGTAGTGTCCTCTAGTGTATTGGCGAAATTGGTTACCAAGTCGGGAACCGTCAACACACCTCGACATGTCGGCCACGGTATCCTGGCCATCGCGGATGCATCGATGTTGATGTTGGGCATCGCTCGTAGTCGCCCAAGCAATGGCAAGGACAGAGGTAACGTAAGGGAGATGCATAGTTGCCTGCGGTCTGAATCGTATGAGCATATGTCGCATGGAAGAGTGTTGCCAGTTTGGCCGTTCCGGGAAGTTGCTACATGTATGCAAACAACGACGAGCTGGTGCGTCTGCGCTATATACACGTGCACAGAAACCTTTCAACACGCCATGTGCCTGATGGCAGGAGAATGGATGGCCCAGGGTCGCATGCACATACAAGACATCCACTCGTCACGAGGGACGGTCAGTCCGACGAAGCAGTGCCGCAGGAGATCACCGATCTCAGCTGAGCATCGGAGCACGAGCCTTGCAGGGACCAGACCTTGATGCATTGCACTGGGTAACTTCCTTTGCGAACGGATCGCGGCCGCAGCACAGATGGTCCCGTAAGGTGCCACCATGCGCTCATTTCCGCTATCTCCGTCCGAGATGACTGCCCGGCAGTGTCGGTTGATCACCGTTGTAAATCCACGCGGTGTTGGACTTCGCTGGACTGGACTCACTGAGGTGGACGCACTGAGTGTCCACTGTGCGCTGTGGCCTGCTGGAAGGGAAGCGAAAACTCGGTAGTTGGAACCCCGACCGGCCAGCGCTCTCACTGAGGGCTGCAGTGCAGCAATTTTAATCCCGCCACAGGCAGGCCGGCAACCCCGAGGCCGTCCATTAATCGCACGTGCAGTTCAGTTCTAGGGCTTGCGACAGCCGTTAGGGTCGAGATGGCTTCAAGTGCTGGTGCAGCCCGGGCGAACCCGATAGCGGCTCACCACAACGCTGCTGGCTGGGCCAATTCCCTGCCTCAGCCGGGCAATTGCCGGTGTTGGCTGAACGTCAGTGGTCAGGTGACTCAGGTGTGGCTCAGCCAATGCAAGTGCACACGGTGCTGATCATTGGACGGCCTCAGTGTGGCACTGTCGCCAGCCGGCTGTGGCGGTGCGGGCAGCCACTCAAAATGACGTCGAGCCGTGGCACTACCCCAGACCTCGAAAATAAAACCACCATGAAGCGGGCGAGCACTTGGGTGTCTGGGAACCGCCTTGGAAAACACAAAGGTTACTTGAGCGCTTGGGCTACGAGCACCTCGGACTTCTCAGATGAGTTGTGGAGCAATTGACCGATTCCCCGACCGCTTTGATGAGCACCGTCTAATCATTGGGGCAGCAACTCATGCTGCGATCGCCTCGCTCTCTGCCCCGTTGTTGGCTTTCTCCGCCGACGACTCTGGACAGGGCACCGGCGAAATTGGTCCCCGTAATTAAGGTGCGGCGCCTCCCGAAGGCTACTCGCGGGCCACTGACTGACTTAGCGTTTGGCCTGGGGTTGCTGAAGGGACCCCCAGGTGGCAATAAAGATCGGCGCGACAAGCGTTGGAGTTTGGCCCTACTCTGGAAGGCATGCAAGCGCGCCAGTCAACGGTCCTCAACTAATGGCATGGAAGGAGGGCGCAGTGGACCAGCCTGTGATACACTGTCTCGCCGTCGAGGGCCTCTCTCTAAGAGTTCAATTTCAGGACCCCGATCCGGGGGGTCGCCATTGCCATTGCCCATATTTTGCTATTCCTCCCTTCAGACGTGCATCGCGGGGAGGATTCCTAGGGGAGGTGTCCGTCGACCCCCGTGTTGCAACGGACCGTCCTCAATCGTGGCTAGACGGCAAGGTGACCCGTGCGTGCCCGCGATCCCCTATTAGATATGCGACCAAAATAGGGCCCATGCATCCGCCATAGTATCAGCCACGATGTAGGGACAAGTCCCAAGCCCCAGCCGACCTCAGCCCATAAAAATCCTGGGTCTGCGTTCGTGCCATACCAACGAACTCGCCCTAGCCGAGGAGATTCGCATACAGGTGCCTATGCGTGTGTAGCAAAGTCATAGTCTTGAGAGCTTTTCCGACGGTCTAAAGCATTGGACTTGGAGATTATTATATCCGCATTGTCCCGACGGTGCTGCGGTTCAATTCTCCGGCAATCAATGAAGTGCCTTTCCGGGTCTAATGGCCGTCTCCACTCTGTCATACAGCTTGAGGTGATCTATTCCCCGCTCAAGGGTTACATCGAGTCCGTGCAAGTTGTCTTCTCAGGAACCCAACCTTGCCAACCCCCACTCTCAGTAACTTCCCCGCGGAGGCCAGCTGGTCTGGGTGGGACGGTCCGCCCAAAAAGGGCCAAGATGTTTCACAAGATCTCTGATCACCGGCAACCACGTGCATACTGTTGAGTAACACCAGCATCGGGCAAGGATGCATATAAAGGGACTCGCCATGCGCTTTCAGAAGCACCTGACTTCCTCGCCATTAGTCTCAGTAACGACTAATAATTTTGGTTGGCTCGATCTGCGGCCCCTTAAGCATGAGCTTGAAGACATTACTGAGCGTCGCGGCGCTGTCACTCGGGTTGATGACACATGCGGCCAGCCATGATGTCCTCAATTTCGTGAATCCATTGATTGGCACCGTCAACGGGGGTCAGTCGTGACGAAACATCACCACGAGGAAGCTACCCGCTAACAGGATGCAGGCCATGTATTCCCCGGCGCGACGCTGCCTTTTGGCATGGCCAAGGCCGTTGCGGACACAAATGGCGCCGAGCTCCAAGGAGGCTTCGCCTCAGATAGCTCAGATAGTAAGACCATTGCTTCGGCACCAACCCGGTCACGGCTTGCTAACCACGTTTGACAGTCGTTGGATTCTCACACATGCATGATAGCGGTACGGGGGGCGTAAGTGTCACGACATGTCAGGATCGTGGCCTCAGCAGCATCGCTAACTACGCATTGAGGGTGCCTCACTGGGGAACTTTCCCCTTTTCCCGCAAAGTGGATGTTTACATGGCGAGCTTAATAACTGCTACTTCGCCAAGACCCTCCGTGCGTCAAAGAGGATCAAAAATTCGGTGAGGGCCGAGCCAGGATATTTTGCATTGGCTTTAAACACCTCTATCAACACAGAGATGACCGTCACAAACCACACTGCTCTATATCGTTTCACTTTCCCAGCCGCTGCAGTACCTATGAAGACCACGGACAAAGGCTCAGTCCCGAACGAGCCTCTCATATTAGTTGACTTGACAGACCTGTCTAACTCACGCAGTATGGCAAACATATCGGTCGATGATCGTACCGGCCGCATTACCGGCAGCGGCACTTTCAAGCCCTCGTTCGGCATTGGAACGTACACGCTGCACTTTTGCGCCGACTTTCAAGGCGCGGAGATCAAGCAGACAGGTGTCTTCCAAAACACCCGCGCAGGCACGCAACCAAAGAGCCTCAAGACTCAGACAGACGGCAGCAGCTCGCCGCCGGTTCCTGCCGGCGCGTTTGTCCAGTTCAAAAAACCGGGGAAGCACAACCAAATTGCAGCGCGAGTCGGCCTGTCGTTCATAAATCCCCAGCAGGCCTGCAGGAACTCCGAAAGGGAGATTGGCGACTTCAACTTCGATTATACTCGCCAGAAGGCCCGCGATGCTTGGGCAGACAAACTCAGCGCTGTTCAAGTGAGCACCAAGGGAGTCAGCAAAACTATCCAGACTGTCTTTTGGTCCGGCATGTATCGAACAATGATTTCTCCTCAGGACTATACGGGCGAGAACCCCCTCTGGAAGAGTAGCGAGCCCTGTGAGTTTGGAACCCCCGACACCTGTCCACCATGCCCGTTGCTCATCAAAGTGTTGCAGACTACGACTCATTCTACTGCATCTGGGACTCGTATCGGAGCATCCACCCTCTACTCACATTGCTTGACCCTGTCAGCCAGACGCTTATGGTCCGTAGCCTTATTGACATATACCGTCACGAAGGAAAGCTGCCGGATTGCAGAATGAGCCTGTGTAAAGGCTTTACACAGGGTGGCAGCAACGCTGACGTCGTTCTGGCGGATGCATATGTCAAGAATCTCCATGATGGCATTGACTGGAAAACGGGATACGAGGCTGTGGTATCCGATGCCGAAGGTATGTTCGACCATCCGCTCAATTATCGAAGTGCGTACTAACATGAGAGGCAGATGAGCCTCCTGTGTGGTCGGTCGAAGGTCGAGGAGGCCTTGCTAGTTGGAAGCAACTAGGTTACATCCCAACAGACGATTTTGATCCATTTGGTATGAGAACGAAGCCCTGTATTACCTCATAAGTATATTAACGGCCACATAGGTGTCGGGCCCTTCACGCGGTCTATCTCCCGAACTGTGGAGTATGCATACAACGACTTTTGTGTGGCGGAAATGGCACGGGGCCTGAAGAAGCAGGTCGATGTCGAGAAATACCGAAAGCGCGCAAAAAACTGGATCAACATGTTCAACAAGAACCAGAAGTCGACAGTCAAGGGCAAAACATTCACTGGTTTCTTACAGCCTAGGTATCTCAACGGCACCTATGGTTTTCAGGACCCCTTGTTTTGCACTCCAATGCTCAACTTCACAAGCTGCTACTTGAACAGCAAAGGACACGAGGTAAAGCACAAACCATTGAGTTTGCTCCGTAACAATACCAGCGATGGCTGACGTCAACCGCCCCTAGACATATGAAGGCAGCAGCTGGCTTTATACTTTCTACGCGCCTCACGATATGAATGCCTTGATTGCCACCTTGGGCGGCCCATCGGAATTTGTTCAACGTCTGCAATTCCTCCACGACACACCTGGTCTTCTTTACATGGGCGACGAGCAAGCCTTCTTGATGGTCTATCTTTTTCACTACGCCGGACGCCCTGGATTAAGCTCCTTCTACCAGCACTCTTATATCCCATCACAGTTTAACGATACCGTCGTTGGAATCCCCGGCAATGACGACTCCGGGGCTATGGGCTCCTTTAGCACCCTTGCAATGATGGGTGTGTGGCCAATCGCTGGACAGGATGTCTATCTCATCAACCCCCCGTTCTTTCCCGAGGTTACGATTATCAATCGCATCACTAAGAAGAAGGCAACAATACGCAACATAAATTTTGACGCAAACTACAAGAACATTTACATCCAGAGCGCAAAACTTGACGGCAAGCCATATACTCGAAACTGGATAACCCATGACTTCTTCTCTAACGGCGGTGTCCTGGAGTTGACACTCGGCAAAAGCGAGAGCAAGTGGGGAACAAGAGATCAGGACCTGCCGCCGAGCATGCGGAAGAACCACTAGGATAACATGGCCAAGGCATTAGAAGATGCTTAGTTCGCTCTCGCCTCTTACATGGCTTTGATAACATGCACTTACTGCAATGGTTTAATACCGTATGATTTTCAAGACAGACGAAACTATCGCCTTCAAAAGCACTTCCTTGCTGCATCCTGGCAGGAAAAGACTCGACTTATAGTACTCTGGGGCTCCCGCACCGACAGAAGTACCTCGGGTCGGCTCCTGCCTCAGTCATGCCACCAAGTGTGACGATTGATGCCTTACTACTGGATCCCAATTCAGCATCGCATGGAGGAGGCACTGGACTATAGTAGAAACCTATAGTAATGTAACTAATCAAATCCGTGCACAAATCAGACCCAGTAATACCTCCGCGGGATCTCGGAGTTCTCGAAGCCCAATGAGCCGCGGGAGTGGTGTTTGTATGCCAAGATAAGTGCCTGGCTAGTCGGGCCGAGTTCGTTGGGCTGGGGGCCCTTGCAGGTCTATGAGGCTTGGAGAAGAACAGCTTCAAATACGCGAACCCTCGGTGCTGGGCGACATTCCCCGATTAAGGGATGGATGGCTGCATCTAGTACAATATGCCAAAATACCTGTAAGCGTTAATCCGTGCAATGATATGCCCGCGAGACAGTCAAAATGTCAGGATATGTACTTGTGAGTGCTTAGCCTGCGTTTTGTCGACATATCAGGTTGTTCAAGCACTGGTCACATCTCTGGCTACACACTATCGCCTCTTGCAGCTTATAAAAGGAAGGACAGCAACGGGTGATAGCAGAGACTGATACCAGATGTTCACCGCTCGTTTTATTTTTCGATATACCTGCGCTCGCACGACATGAATCTCCTGCACTTGGCCCTCCTCGCAGCGTCTGTTAGGGTTTGCTCGGGGTCGGTTAAACGTGGCTTGATATACATCCCCAACGAGGCCTGGCCACAAGACGATAGCGTGTGGATTCAAGATGGCTCTACGTTGACCTGGTACTATACGTACGGCGATCAACCGAACCCCAGATACAAGTCGCCGCAATCAGCGCTCGAGTTCGTCCCTATGATGTGGGGCATGGGGGGTAACCCAGACGATACGAGCTTCCGCGACTCCATCATTAAACAGCTGGAAGCCGGTGCTAATATTCGTTACGTTTTGAGTTTCAATGAGCCCGACATGCGGTCAGACTGGGGTGGCAGTAATATTGAGCCCGCAAAGGCTGCACGAGGCTATATCGCGAACATGCTTCCTCTGAAAGAGCGTGGAATTAAGATTGGACTTCCAGCTGTTTCCGGCGCGAGCTGGGGCATTCAGTGGCTTCGTGAGTTCGCCGGTAACTGCACGGAGGTGTTGAACGAAAAGTGTCAATACGACTTTCTCCCAGTCCACTGGTATGGCAATTTCGGAGGGCTGAAGGCGCATATTGATGAAGCAACGCACGAGTAAGATCACCACACGCGGTAATCACCAAACTGCAACTTTGGACTCAGCTAAAGCCCAAGGCTTCAGATTTCCGGACGCGAAGATTTGGGTTACTGAATATGCGTTTGCTCACCAGACTCTTGAGACAACCAAAGGATTTTACTACGAGTCAGCCGCCTACTTGGAAAGTTCTGAGATAGTTGAAAGGTATAGCTATTTCGGCGCTTTTCGCTCACAAGTTAGCAATGTCGGAGCAAACGCTACATTCCTGAACCGTGCTGGCCAGCTCACTGAAATCGGGTTGCGGTACCTTGGTCTCGAAGGGAACGGTGTTGAACCTACCTCTGGATGAAGCAGCGAGCGAATCGAGTGAGATGGGACGTCAGTGATGTTGATCTGCTCAGCTAGGAGACCAGGAGAGAGTAGCCTTGATGAACGGGGGACATGCTCGAGCGGATCCAGCTACTCTCTGCCAGGATGCATATACCTGAGACCATTCCATGTCGTGAGCTTGTCCTTTACCACTGATGCGGCACGTCATTTCGACCGTCTTTACTCCTTGAATCAAAGTGAACTCCAGTCCGCCTCTTCCTTGGCATAAAGTCCTACGCCGACTGATATTCTTCACCGATGTTGTCTCATCCTGGTCGATCCAAACTCGTATCACTAATACGGAAAATGGGAGGACAAGGGTGCACCCGTAGGTCTCTGCTTTGTCTGATGAATAGAGACGAAGCTAGTGGTGAAGACACCGACCTAAGGTTTACATCAGGCTGGGGTGATGCCCATCATTTCCACTGTCCGCTTCAATCGGCCGGCCGCCATCGTGGATCTGGTAGAAAAGAAGGCTTCGATGCTCCAGTCGGTTCAGACCCTGTTGGACTCGACGTGCGTAGCCACTCTCAACCACTAGGAACCCTTGTATGTAACTAATTTGAAGTGGAAACTGTGAATGCCGACTGTGGAAGAGTAGGACCGACTTCAGTCCATAACATTACGCTCGTGCTAGTGGCTTCCACGAGTCAAGGGGCTGGATGCCGGTGGGCGACGCACTGGTGGCGGGAACCGCGTCAAGTCGGCGGCTCGCCGATGAGCTAATTAATTGCGTCGATACCTACTATCGGCTTTCGGGTCAAGAAGTCGGCCGCCGCTCGTGAGCCGACCCGACAACGTCAGCGCGCGACTTTTAGGTGAGTTAGGGAGCCGGCATATCCCTTGCGGGGTATCTGTATCGCAGCACCTGTTCTTGCGAACAAGTGCGATGCCGCGTGCGGGGTTGACCTTGGCACGCTTCGCGGCCTGGCAAAGTCGGAAGATTGACAGCGGAACGTGGCTGGTTGCCACCGAGACGCCCCGTACGTAGCCCAGTTTGATGGGACTGCTGCGGCGAACCTTGAAGCAGTAGCCCATTGCCAGTGCGTGCCATGCGGCCTTTGCAGTCCGGGGAGAGTCGCCATTCATTAAGAAGCGGACCATATACAATTGCTTGTTGCCCAGCTGCTTGACGACCACTGCCGGAGAACGCTCGCCCTGAGAGCGTCGGGACTGGCCCGGTTGAGCACCGACGTCTCGGCCTATCAGATTGCCATGCCATCCATCAGTTTCTTCCGGGGATTATCGGCGCCAGTAGGTAGCGAACCCTGGTACTTGAGGGAGGGCTCGGAACAGGTCTAAGCCAATTCATGATCCGAATCTGGCGAAGCCCGCATTGGCATGCAGCTGCTGTCAACTGCGTACTAAGCCGGTCAATGTAGCGCAAGGATCTGCTTTACAATACGCCTAGCTTATTGATGCGAGCCATCTGACAAACTCTGATACAACTGGTGAACACGGTTGGAGGCCATCTTTGGGGCCTCCTGCTCTTGTGCACGCCAGAACTGGCGCCGAATTTGACAGTTGCCTCCCCCCCCTGGTGCGTGTTCCCTTGCCGTGCCTACTTTCTCTCCGATCCCTCGTCCCGTGCTCACAGGCCGTGAGTCACGGCGAGTCGCCGAACCGCTCTCAATTGCTCGCGCCCGGCATTTTGCTGCCCAGCCTGAGTAGAAAGAGACAAGTGCCTTCTAGTCCGCAGACAGAGCTATGCAGCCTTCTTCTCCACAGGAGCTACCCTGGTGTGTACTGCGTAGTCGTAGCTTTGATTGACACTCCTTAATGGTCCCCAGCGCCGGGCTCAGGCTGTCAGCGCCGCAGCGGCAGGTTGCTGCCGCCTTCACAGAATGAGGTTTTCGTTCTTTCCCAGTAGCTGATCCGGTGGATGGCCTGGAGCATGGCGAATTGCCGGTGGGAGGCAGACCGACTTGCAGTTATTGTATACGGGGCCCCTCGACAAAGTACTGAGGTGAATAATAGGGATGCGAGCCGACTCGGCCTTAACTTCGTGGCGCATATGCTGGCCCCTGAATGCAAAAGTGGCTGCGCAACACTGCCGAGTCACGTGTGCTGCTGAGTCATGGGCCCGTTGCGGGTGGGAGCCCATACAGGCACGGGACCCCGTGCCGATCTTGGTCCCGTGGCGGGTCGCGCTCATGTTGAGCAGCCACATCGGCGGGCCGCCCAGGCAGTCGGCGGGACGTCAAAGGTAGGGCAGACAGAGATCTACCCAGATCGCCAAGCAAACACTGTGGGACGAAGCGGACAATTGGCTCCAACACAGGTTACACAACTTCAATGTTGTAGTCTACTTTGACTACGTAATACCTATGAACCGCAGATTCTACTGAGACCGGCCAGATCAATGAAAGTAGCAGCCGGCCGAAACTATGGAGCGTGACATTTCCTCGCTCTCTAGTACCTCATTTTCGCCGCCTGGAAGTACGGAGGGTTATTGCCAGGGAGTTTGTCGAGCTTGCCGTTACGCCCCACCTCCTCATCAGGTGCTGGCTTCTCCGGCGGCTGAGTCGTGACCTCACCTGTTGTGCCATTTGGCCCGACACGCAGACTGCAGTTTGGATCCTCGGCGCCCGAAGGGCCCGTGCAAGTTGCCATGGCCCTTTCCAGGCGATCCTGATCCTCCCAACCCTGCAGATAATCGCCGTCTGCGGAGGCGGACTTGACGTCAGTAAAGGTGAAACAGCTTGGATTGCGTAGGCTGGGTCGTGGCACTCACGCAGAGCATAGCCGACCCCGTCGCCTTCTGAGTACACCCAGCGGTTAAAGTCTTTGACCTGCCTAGTGTTGTAGAAGAATTCGGTGAATACTGAGACGATGGCAACTGGGTGTGACTCTGGACAGACACCGCCGTTGTAGTCGCCGATTGCAGGGAAAGCCATCTGTAACATTGGGTCAGGCTCGGTCATGATCCGTCGCGCGACTGAATTGACGTGTCAACCACTCACGTGGCTCTTATGGTCCGGCGAGTCTAAGTCTTTGCCGTTCCAGCAAGACGGGAAGTAGGTCTGGGCGCGCATTTCTTCACATGGCGCCTGCCGGAGCTCTACCGTGTCCTGTCCCGGAGCAAGACAAACGTGAGATATGGCCCGATGCTCAGGATTTGACTGATCAAAGTTTCTGTCACAAAATTGTTGAGGTTTAGTAAGAGTCGTGGAAATGGGAGATTTCGTGGTCGTACCGGCGCAAAGGACTGCCGACAACCATACGCAGTCCAGCAGGTGGTGCTATTGCTCCTTTGGTGCTTCCACAGTCCTGGCGGCCTGGTTCAAAGTCACAAGTCCTGTCAATATAGTACGCATTCTGAACGGTGGTCTGTCAGCAAGTTCACACCAGGCTACCGGGAACACTCACAATTCCCAGGAACTTGATAAGCTCGAACTTCCCGTCTCTGTCTTGGTGATATAATTGAGGCTGCCAGTAGTTACTCTTGTCTAACATTTTGTTGCATGTAGTTGACTTGGAGCTCCTAGCCTGCTCAGCCGTCATCTCAAGTTGAAAGGCGGTACCTCCGACAACTGCGTGCACATGAGGGCTGATTGTGCCGGGGAAAACAATTGGATCACCTCGCTGTACAGTGAGAGGACCACATTGCACAATGAACAGGCCTCCTTGAGCACAGGCAAGCGATAAGCATCCTGCTAGCAGCGCCAGCATTCGAAAGGAATGAAAAGACATACTGAAGTTGAATGCACAGCGTGGGTTGTCAAAAATGCGTTTTGTTGACCAGATGATCCATCGGAAAGATTGTCCCGGGGCGCTGGAGAAAAAGGCTGGGGCCATTCGATGTTTTATGTGCTATGGAGCCTTACAAACATTTCCTGTGAATCACTAGAAAGGTTGGCACGTTGCGCATCACTAGCACTATTATGCGGTTCATTATCCGGTTTTGGCCCCCTTGATGCACAGCATCCTTGGTGAGACTTGGGATGGCTGGTGTACTGAGTCCTGTCGGCCCTGTAGTGGCCGGTCTGCGCCCTGCTCCATATCCGGCGCCAACTCAGACGAGGTAGTCTTCATCATGTTCACCAACGTATCCGGTAGCATAGCGCTCGCGCGTTGTCCATCTGCCGCGGAGTTCCGCCTCAAACACTTTGGAGCAATGTAGGCCATAGTGTGGGAAGGGGCAAAGGATATCACAGCCTTCGAAAGCGGTCTCGCGAAACGCACGACAGAGATCTATCACCCTGACCAGCACAATCGGCTGAGTGAATATGGTTGAAAGCCCGATACTCCCCGTGCATGGACCTGCGAATAGTGACCCCAAACAGGTTGTACCTTGAACCATTGAGAGGCTTGGCGAATTGACATTAGATAGTTCAGCGGGGAATATCGCTCGTTTGTCATTGTGAAATTGTTGAAATCGTGGCAGGGTGTTTTGAACTGTCTCCGCGAGCGGCATGTTGGGCATATCGCCGTCGACCAGGGTCGAGGGGATCTGACTCTGCCAACCTGTCGTAACCCCTGCATCTTGTATGTTTATGAGTGGTTCATAGTAGCTATAATGGCGGGATCTTCTGAGACCATCACAGCTCTTGCAGGCCTCTCCATGCCACCCCATAAGGCCGTGCTTCGCGACGACTAATGCAAAGCAACATAAAGGATATCCACAACCTTTTCGTTTGGCCTCGGTCACTACGGCACCTCTGGTACTGCTCGCTACGCGGCTAGCCGGGGAGTTTCGGGACGTTCGTTTAAGCTTCTCAGGACCCCCGCAGTCGAAGTCGGAGCGCCACCTCAGGCTAGGACAAGGGAGAGCACGCCACACAGGATAGTCCTTGCCGTTCATTGAAGGTATGGCGGGTGGATAATCAACTTCGTAGTCCTGTACCGGGCATGGTATTCACGCCCGTCTGCTCGCGCCACGTCAGCAAAAAAGGCCTTGTCCAGTCGACGGCGAGGATGAGATCGCTCCATCACGAATCTGCAAGACACGATCGCTCGCACCTACGAGTGGCTCAGGTCGTCCAAACGCACACAACTGCCAATGAACTGCTGGACAGAAAGGTGCAGGGTTGAATGACTACAAATATATAGACGTTGGTCCCCCGAACTGTTGAGGGCCGTGTAGCTATCCTTTTTGAGGGCCATTCAGTGTTTGAGATTTTACTGCCAATACATATAAGTAAAATGCGGGCTTATCGCTTCCTTCCTCTGGCTGGCTTCTTTGCCGTTGCTGCGCACGCATTCTGGCTTGGGGACATTCCTCACCAGGGAGTGGCCCCGTATGCTTCATCCGGGTACCCGGTTTTCCGCGATGTTAGGAAGTACGGCGCCGTTGGCGACGGCAATGCGGATGATACCGCTGCCATTCAAAGAGCCATCGATGACGGCCAGACTTGTGGACGAGGATGCGTAAGTCCGGACCCCTTACACCAGCACAAAGTCTGCCTGATGAATTTCGCGTCGCCCGACTCAGATCGCGGAGGTTCGAGGAGCACCAACTTATCACTCTATAGGTGTCTACTACTACAACTCCTGCCCTGGTCTACTTTCCCAGTGGCACTTACAAAATTTCATCGTCCATCAGACCCGGTTACTTTGTCCAAATGATTGGGGATGCCAACAGCCCACCGACATTGAAAGCAACCAGTGACTTTGAGGGACTGGGGCTCATTGACGCCGATCCATATTACGGACAAGGTCTCAATTGGGCTTCTACGACGGTGTTTTTCCGCCAGATTCGGAATTTTGCTATCGATACCACGGCAATTCCCGCCGGGAAAGGCGCCACGGGCATCCATTGGCCCAGTTCACAGGCGACTAGCCTTCAGAACATCGTCTTCAACATGCCCATCTCAGATGACGTGGCCCATGTCGGAGTGTTCATGGAGGAAGGTAGCGGTGGATTGCTCACGGACCTAACGTTCAATGGCGGACGCACCGGGTTGTCCATGGGCAACCAGCAGTACACTACTAAGAACCTTGTGTTCAACGGCTGCAAGACTGCCATTCTTCAGATATGGAACTGGGGGTGGACTTATATCGGAGTGCAGATTAACAACTGTGGTGTTGGGCTCGACATGTCCCTCGTCAGTGGCAATGGTGATCTAAACGTTGGATCGGTCACCTTCATTGACAGTGACATCAGCAACACCAACGTTGGCATACTGATCGCCCGCACAAGTTCTACGTCCCCCGTCACTGCTGGGAGTTTGATACTGGAGAATATAAGACTTGAAAACGTTGAAATCGGTGTCAAGGGACCGAATGGTACACTCCTGGATGGGGGAACAGGGACAATCGACGCTTGGGGGACGGGTCGCCAATACACCCCCAATGGCCCCGAGCAGTTTCAGGGTGGCTTCGAGGCGAGCCGCCGTCCGAGTACTCTCACCAATGATGGGAAGTATTACCTGCGGACAAAGCCGCAGTATGCCGACAAGTCTTCATCTGACTTCCTTGGCGTCCGTTCTGTGGGTGCAAAAGGTGACGGCAGTACCGACGACACAGCTGCTATTCAGCGGGCAATAAACCAGGCCAGCTCAACTGGAAAGATTCTGTTTATAGACCACGGAGTCTATGTCATCACCGACACCATCTTGGTGCCTCCCGGCACCCGAATTGTTGGCGAGGCGTACCCTACCCTCTTGTCGAGCGGCGGCAAATTTGCCGACATGAACAGTCCCCGTGCCGTCCTCAAGGTCGGTGAGACTTCCGGTCAGTCTGGCCAGGTCGAACTCTCCGACTTCATGATTTCTACGCGAGGGGCACAGGGAGGAGCAGCGCTGATTGAATGGAACCTCGATACCAGCGGTACTCCGTCCGGTATGTGGGACGTTCATACACGCATCGGCGGCTTCGTCGGCTCCAATCTCCAGACTGCACAGTGTGAGAAGAGGCCTGGGAATACCAATGTTCCGGAACAGTGCGTGGCCGCATTTATGTCGATGCATATTACCAAAGGAGCCGGCGGCCTGTACATGGAGAATTGCTGGCTGTGGACGGCCGATCACGACCTCGATGGTGGCAGCAATACTCAAATCGACATCTATGCTGGCCGCGGGTTGCTGATTGAGGCAACAAAGGGTCGTTTCTGGCAGGTGGGAACTAGCGTAGAGCACCATACGCTCTATCAGTATCAGTTCGCCAACACCAAGGACGTCTTCGCCGGCCAGATACAAACCGAATCGCCCTACTATCAACCAAGCCCCAATACTCCTCTCCCCTTTCCCATCAACAAGGCTCTCCATGACCCCGAATTCGATGGCCTGACGCATGCGTACGGGTACCGTGTAGTGGACTCTTCCGGAATCTTCACGTATGGCGCAGGGTTGTACTCGTTCTTTTCGAATTGGAACGCAACTTGTTCCACATTTGCAGCCGGTTCAGACTGCCAAAGCAAGATCATGTCTCTGGAGGGAGCGCTCAGCAACGTCAACATCTACAATCTCAACACTGTCGGCACCGTCAGCATGTTGAACCGGGATGGAACTTCGGTCGCCAAGGCAAATGACAACGTCAACGTCTTCAATGCAAACGTGGCACTGTATCGAGCCGTGTGAGAGACACCTCGGATATTTAAGCGGTCAAGTCAGCATCAAGTACATTGACTAGATATGTTTCATAAACTATACCATCCTATGTACTGGCAGAAATGTCTGCTTCAGCGCTTGGAGATTTCTCTGTTTGCTTCATCCTGAAGGTACTTAAACTACTCGTAGCTTTTCAGGAAGCGAGCACAGCGCTCCGCAACCATCATCGTCGGAATCATGGGGTGTGTGCTTGGAATAACGGGAAAGATGCTGGCGTCTGCGACGCGGAGGCCACTCACACCAAATACCCGAAGGTGCTGATCCACGACACCACCGGTCCTACCATTGATCCTCTTCTCGAACGGTCTCTCGGCTTCTTTGTGGTCAAGCCGCCCCCCTCTTTCATCGCCTGTCTCGCTTGCTGCCATAGCACACGTACCAGCTTGATGATAGCCCGTGCCAAACCATCGATAAATGAAAGTCTCCAGCTCAATGTCTGTAACGTCTGCTGCCGTGCGCGACTTGACTGTCTTCCTTCCGGTTCCCGAGGCTTCATACTCCCCCATCCCATCGTCCATGCCTGGGCCCATAAAAATGCTGCACCGGTCAAGGTATGGGTATTTGTCATCGCCCACCTGGCCCTCGCTCTTCATGAAGGCTTCGGACAGGCGCATGCAGAAGCGAAGGGCCTTCTTCATGACGCTGATGTCGTGGTTTCGTATGTCAGTAAAGAAGGGATGGATGATTCGGGGTGGGGTCGCCATGTCTGCGTCCACCAACTCTACCCGACCACGCGAGAATGGTGACATCAGGACAGGCCAGAGGGTGAAGGCCGGAACATCTTTTCCCGTATCAGTATCTTTCAGCGCAGTTACCCGCTCAAAGGTTGGCTGGAAACAGGGAAGCGGTGTAATCTGAACCTCGAAGTCGGGGATATTGCTCTTCTTGGATGCGTCAAGGGTTGATAGGGTTGAATCGGGATGAGTTCGCCGTGCTTCCATTGTCTTGTCATTCAGGGTGTAAGACTGGAGAAACATGACCAACGCAGTCGTCGGGCTTGCAATCAGCCCGAGGCCGTACCAGATGTACAGGAATAAGTGATACAACAGACGAAACGGTGACTGGAGCGCTGTGAGGAGGGATTCATGTTCAGGTCCAGATATAACCACAGCTGGACCAGCAACATGATCGGTGAGATGACTCCCGACGTGTGGGTTGTCACGGAGAACGGGAATATTATGCCGCTCAAGCTGGTCTTTCGGCCCAATGCCACTAGAAGAACACGTTAAATTCGGCGAGTTGCAAGCACATTCAGTGTGAGGTTCGTACATTGGGACCGTACCTGAGCATCAAAATCTGCGGAGACCGTAGAGCCCCAGCGCAAAGAATGATTTCGCGTCGAGCTTTGACGTATACCTCAAGTGACCCAGTGCTGCCATCCACGGCCTTGAAGAAGACGCCTCTTGTGGAGAGCCTACCGTCGGGCTCGGTGTCGATGCATACCTTCGTGACAGCTGCCCCAGTACAGATAGAGAGGCGATCCTGCCGCGCAAGTGCAATCTGTTTGTTCAAGTACCCATGGTACGCCGTGTGGCGCTGCCCGGAGACATCAACCGCTGTGTGGGTATGGTAGTAGCCCTGGGCAGTCGTGGTAGAGGTGTTGATATCTTCGTTTTTTACCAAATTTAGTGACGCCATGGCTCGCTCCATACTGCAAGTCGTCAGCACCTGGCCGGCTGGGGTGTTTATAGGCTTGCAATCCTGATCGTGCATTATCCAGTCAGTGGCATTAGCGGCACATACTATGAGTAGAACGCGAAATGCTTGGTGAATGGCCGCAATGGGATCCCAGCTGACATCATTGGTTACTTTTGATAGCCAAACACGTGTGGTTGCTGGGGTCGACTCACGACTTGGCCTTGCTGCTCCTCTAGCTTCTATATTGTAGGTCGGCGGCATACAGGGCTCAACGTCTTTCCACCCCCATTCATCGAGGCCAAGATCATCCGCCCAGGCCTGGTACTCGCCCACCCATCCTCGAGTCAGCATCATGCCATTGATGCGGGATGCGCCGCCCAGGCCATCGCATCCGTAGAGAACAATGCCTTCTTTGACATTTTGGCGACCGCCATCCGTGGGCATTTCGCTGACCGGCTCAGCCTTGAATTTTACCACTTGCAGGTCGTTTCGGGAGAAGTCTTGGCTGAGTGTTGGAATGCGCGATAGTGCATGGTCGCGCACGTACCCCTTCTCGAGAACCAGCACCGAGACAGATAGGTCTTCAGAGAGCCGTGACGCCAGGACGCACCCAGCGGTTCCTCCTGGAGGGTGTGTCAGCCAGATGGCCAGCGGGATAACAAACCAGTAGTGCTGTTGACCCGCTTACCTCCGACAATTACATAGTCGTAGGTCCTCCCCGCCACGTCGAGGGGACGCCGCTCCGGGTACGGGAACGACATTGGCCACATGTTTGATACGGCGACACAATGGTGCTTGGAGAAGTCCCGAAGCAGAACGCTCGGCAACACCCGTTTATAATGCAGCTGCTACTGCCAAGGCGACAACGCCAAGTAGTCGCGCTCCAAGATTTGTCACATATGATGGCCACGGTGCAGTGTAAGCTGACGGTGCATCCGCACAGCCTTGTGGATGACAATAGCTGAGCCAAATCTGCCAGGGATCCAGGGTGACAACTGGGGGGAATCCTGGTAGCAACGGGTTACAAATGTGCATATGGTGGCCTACCAATGCACTCCCATCTACCGGGGATGCCTCCGTCCAGCTTGGCTTGTTGTGTGCACCGCACCTCTCGTGATGAATCATGAAGCCATTTGGCGCCGAATGCTTGCATGTCAATGCCTGAGGGGCCGGAAACCGGCGCATGTGACAACGCACCTTCGTGGCGACGACATCGCCTACTCCTGACGGGAAAGTATGACGACTGGCAGCAACTCACCTGACAATCCAATGGATGCGCGTTTATACCAGCCTGCTGATTCCGGGTGGCCGCCTGGATCCTGAACCCCTGGAATCCTGATTGTCAAGCGGCCAGGATGCAAGGGCACATGTATTAGGGTGCCAGCCTGCCAGGGTCCAGGGGGCAGATCGCAGGTGGAGCACGGCCGAGCTGGAGGTGGCCGTCCGACATGGGCGCATCCGCCAGCATCGTCCCATTCGCGCACAATAAATAGCATCGTCTTCGCCGCTGTGGAATCATTTTTGAGGGAGGCATTGTCGCCTGTCGACGTTCTTAGTATAAGTCGGGTAGTATCGCGCCAGCTCGATATCACGCCGCCCGGTCCACGTTGCCGAGGCGAAGACGATTCGCGCGCGGACAGGCGGCTCGTCGCCAAGATGACCCGCTTGGTGCCGTCGCGTGGCAGGCGCTGCAAGCGGCGCGCCACAGCATCTGGCGGGCAGGCCCTGAGATGACAGGCCTTGATGGGTCTTACTTGTGGCGGGGTGAAGCCCGAAAAGCGTCGACGGCCCGCTGAAAAGCAACATCCCTCCCATTGATCACAGCGTCGCGGAGATGGCCAACACGATTTTCGAACCGGGCGCCGAATGCCAGACGCGCGGCGTCATGCTTACCTGGGCGACTCATACGATATTTGCCGCCCAGGCCCGCTACAGCAAATTCTCCGTTCTCGCCGGTAGGCGGCAGCTGCTCCCAAACCAAAAGGTCATAACGGCTGTTGCGTTACGGCCGCGCGCGATTGAAGACATTGCGGCCTGCTGAGCTGCTGTCGCAGGCCCGGACCACCCGGCGCCCAGGCGAGTCAGCGTGTGCTTCGTATGTGGAGACGGGGTTGGTGGTTGGGAACCAGGCGTCGGACGGGCGGCCTCAATGACAGGACGGAGAAACCCCAACGTGCGTAGTCAGTGTTAGTTATTGGACGGGCAAAACGTAACTGCGGGTAATCCTTGGACACATCGCCAGGCCCACGGCGGGTTAGCCTCCTGGTCTAATAAGTATGCACTGTGCCAAACCTCACGCAGCCGCCATGACGCGGGCGCTGCAACCCCAGCCCGAATCCCCAGGCCCAGACGACCACACAATGTATATGTCTTCTTCGTTCGAAGATGAGACGGGCCTTGAACCTGCGGACACATGTACACGGCAATGACCTCAGCTGCATCCGCTGGAACATCCCGTATAACAAAGCATTCGGATGCCTCACACCTCGACTACAGGCAACCCTCCGGCTACTATTCTGCATCTCCTTCAGCAGTCTCGCAAAAGTCTACCTGCGTTTCATTCAGTCTTTAGGATCCCTTAAGAAGCGTGAGCTGTCGAGATCTCTAATGCAGTCTCAACAAATCTAATAGCTATGCAAACTCAACCTGAGCTCTACTCTGCTGGCATAACTCTGAGGCAACGACAATGCTAGGCCGGCTTTTTGTGTGCCACACGGTTTGCATTTGTTGCGTCGATGACCACAAGAGGGTCCTTGAAGTCCACCCAGCCCAACATGGGCTGTAAGGGATAAGTTAGCATGCTATCCGACGCAACCCGTGCCAGGGCATCGTGTGAGGGTCCAGAACGAACTTCGCTTATAGCATAACCCATTAGCCTCTGAATACGAAGTGGCAGGGTTTTGGCAACTTCCAACGGGACGGCCAGATATTGGTTCTCTTCTTGCCGTAGCCAACCACGAGTCATGAAACAGCTAAAAATCAGCCGCTCCTCATCTTGTGTCGTGTTAGCACTGCCACCATGGTAGCAGCTTGACAGCATTATGAATCCGTCTCCAGGCGATAATTCGGCGTACTGCGCGAATGCCTCGTCTGGTGGCTGCAGCGTAGACTCAAGGTGGCTCCCGGGTATGAAGCGTGTGGCACCGTTGGCTTTGGTAGTCCTTGTACCCGCGACGAAAAAGCCAATGCCGTACTCCCGCACATTTGTCTGATCAGGATATCTGTCCACTCGAGGGCGGTCTGCGTAGTGTATGTCATCATCCCGATGCAGTGGCTGATTGAAGCTGTTTCCTGGCCGGACAGAGAATGCAATGGTGTTGTTCACCTGAGGAGGTGATACATTGAGCACGTCGCGGTTTCCGTAATAGGGATACGACTTCGTGGTCAGGAATTCCTCGCAGACCGCCTGGTATAGGTCGTTCCCAATGACTGACAATGCGAATGTCCGAGATTTGCCAATCAACCCGAATGCCCGGCGAGTGGTAGGTGGGAAAAATGTAGATGCATTCCAGGGTTCGTCTGCTTCGAGTGAGACGCGGATGTCTTTTTCCATTTGTGCAATGTCTTCCTGACAAACGATTCCGCGAACGATGCATCCTCCGACCCGCTTCAGGGCATCGACAATGTCATTGGGGTCAGCATCAGGGGAGAATTCGGGAACCTTAAGTTTCTGTCGGGGAGGCCACTCGGCTTTGTGAGCCTTGTGCAGCCGCTCATAAGAAATGAATGCATCTTCAAAGGCGGTAGTGGGTGGTAGGATACTAGCGTTAATGTCCAGGATATTCTTGCCATTAGCCTGGCCTTGGGCCTCTGTTTCGCTCGTCGTTGGCATTTTAATGAATCAACCAGCCATTTATCACGCCTGTTTGACAGAACAACCGTGCATGTTGGGACACACTGAGCATTAAATACCCCCCCGGTATAGTGTTATACATTCTACGTAATAGAGACATCGTCAGACAACTCCAGATTACAGCAAAGCTCCACTTTCTTAGCCGACCGGTCGAGTGGTTGACCGTAACCCGTGGTGGGAAACTGATTGCACGCCGACTTGGATGTGGTCCAGAAACAGGCACTCGTCGTAGTCGCTACAGACTGCCGCGCCGATGAAACGCCGACCAGCTCCCGAGTGTTTTTGGATCCAACAACACTTTGTTGATGCAGTACTGTATGGCTGGACCAGTGGTGCATCAGTTAGGCTCCCAGGGGTCATCTAACTAGTAAGGGTATGTCCCCGCCAACACCCGTTGACGGCGTTTGGTCGGCCATAAGCCAACTGGATCGGGGGCTGCGCGGAGTGCGCCTGTGCCCAGTGCTAATCTGGCCTGGTTTTCCTCATCAGTTGGTTGGAACGAGACCAACGAACCAACGGCCAGCACACAAGGAATACGGATCCCAGTGATACAGAATTAGATCGAATTGCTTCGTGGATACTTCCCCGTGGCAGCAAAGAAGCAGGTTCGAGGTTTATTTAAGGCATAGAATTTCCATGTCACAAACCATCTCCGTGGCGGGGCTTCATTTCAACTGCCACGAACGACTCTCTGTATAGTCAAGCAGCACAGCAAATATGGGTGGCCCAATCTTCAATCGGAATAAGCTGCGCCTGTCGCGGCCCTTCAATCAGAATGTCATCATGGGACTGTTAGTTACTCTCAGGAGCAACTACGTTAAGCCTGCTAATATATGCTAATCAGAATTCTCTTTTGCCTTCCTGGGATATATCTGGCATTAACAGGACTTGGAGCCGGTGGTGGCCGACCTTCGTCCCAGAGAGTCGCTTCTCTAACTAATGCGTCAGTAATTTGCCACTATTGCCGCTCTGTAGCGAGACCATTCGTTGAAATCATCTGACTGTTATCGAAGAATCCTCTACGGCGTATACACCGTAGTTGGGTGGTGCAGCGGCTCCATTCTGAACTTTCTCGGCCCAAAGTACACCGCGTGAGTGTATATGCTGGTAGCTATCTGAGACCTGATGCATCTAATTGACTCATAGAGCTCTTGGGGGTATAACTTATCCGTTTTATGTTGGATCTCTGTGGTATTATGATCGGGTCGGTCACGACGCCTTTCCACTCTTTGGTACGTTGTCGATCTGAGAAAAGACTTCCAACAGCACAGTCGCAACAGAATCAGAGGAGATGCTAATAGTGATTTGTAGCCGGTGGCCTACTTGGGGTTGGCGCGGCTTTCTTTTGGACCACATCAGGATTCATTCAGTTTGCCTATGCAGAGGAGAAGGACAAAGCCAAGGTACGTGCTCGTTACCCCGACTTGAGATCTTGGACTGACGATGTCCAAAAAGTACATCACTATTCAGTGGGTACTCTCTGCAACCGGTAGTACAGTGGGGGCCATCATCGCGTTCTCTGCGAATTATCAGAGCACAGAAGCGATCGGCGTCTCGTCAGGAGTTTACATTGCTTTCATTGCCATCATGTGCTTGTATGTCTCCGTTGTCCTTGTCAGGCTAGTGGTTAACAATATGTACAGCGCCATAGGCATAGTTCTGGTCTTTATCATTAAGCCAGAGAATGTCGTCCGAGATGATGGGCGACACATCGCCATATTCAAGGAGCCGACCGTTATTGAAGAAGTCAAAGGCGTGTTCTCGGTGATGACAGACCCCAAGATCTTATTTCTTCTGCCGGCCATGTTTGTGGGTGAAATGTGCCTGGCCCTTGTCAGCAGTATCAATGGTCAGTTCATTTTGGGGAGCCTCGTTTCGCATACCGGTCTGGAGTTAACTTGCGGCAGCTCGGTACTTCAATCTTCGCACAAGATCTCTAAGCAACCTGCTCTTTCAAGTTGTCATGATCCCTACACCATTAGCTTTAGCATGGGTCATGGACAACCAACGAATCAGTTCCCGCCGCACACGGGGCTTCATCGGCGTCGCCATTGTAGGGACGGTTACGCTAGCAGCTACTGCTGGCTTGCTAGGTTGGATCCTCAAGAACGACATAGATAATAGGGACAATTCAGTCGCTGTTGACTGGACTGATTCCGCATTTGCTGCGGCCTTTGTGCTGTATCTCTTGTTCGGGATTGTTTACGCATGCTTTCAGATCACGGTACAGTGGACATTGGCCTGTTTGTCTAACGACCCGAGGCTATGCGCACGCTATGCTGGAGCATTCAAAGGAACAGTCAGTCTTGGCATGTGCGTCTCGTTCGTCGTTGACTCCCAGGGCATGAGCCATCGCGACCAGGCCATCATGCAACTGGTGTTGTATGCCTGTGGCATTTTTTGCTTGGCCTATGTCATCGCGGTTTACATGAAAGAAACAAATTACTTACTTGAGAGCATGGTTGTGGTTCCTGAAGCTGTGGAGAAGGCGCTGATGGCGAGGCAGGCTGCTGACCCAGAAGCCGAATTGAAGGAGGAGAAGCATATGACATCTGGACACAAGACGTCTTAGATGAGCTTTCTATCAAAGTTTCGACATCCTCACGGGTAGCAGTGTCAGGAAGGAGTGGACACATTAGGTTGCAGAGTAGCATTGAAAGTACATGTATTCAAGGCTCTTCATGCATTGCCTTTAGCAACGGAAATAAACGCCCGGTTGCAGCAGCTGCAAACAGACTAGGTGTAGAAACACATGTGCGTCTCGAAAGGTCTCAAGAAGACTAATGTAGCAAAAGAAAGGAATTGCCTCGTATGGCCCCTAGATATGCTATGAGAGTCGCTATAGGTGCAGATAATGTGTATGTATCCTCATTCAACAATGTCCCAACCCCAGGGATGATTAGTCTGCGGTACCCAATCCGAAAACGCAAAATCGGGTAGGTCGAGGTCGTATATCCAGTCAGGTACCAGCGGTGTTACTTGAGATTGTACGGGCTGCTCTCGACCCGGCTCGTCCGACGATTCATGTGGACACTGATCGCCGCCACGTTGACCGTCACTTTCGGCCAACAGCCAGCCTACAGCGCGTCCCACGAGCTTTTCGTAGAAGGCAGAACCTTGGGCAGCCACAGAACTTCGTTCCGATAGCAAGTTCATTAGTGGCAGTCCCCTCTGGAGCTTCGTAAGGGCCAAAGTCGCTGTGTCGTTGTTCTTGCTATTGACCTGGCGGGCGTGTTGGCCCATGGCGAGATCAAGCTCGTGGATTCCGAAATTCCAAAGTGAGTAGAGCAGTCCATGAGAATTGAGATCTTCGCATGTCTCTGTAATTTGGCTGGCCATGACATGCACCGTCTCCATCCCATCGGATAATAAGGCTGCGAAACGGAGCATTGTCGCGCAATAGGCGATGTGAAGCGTTGCAGCCCAGAGACTGAAGTTTCTGAGTGCAGGTGGAGGTTGGAGGCTTGCTGGTATGCCTTGATGCCACGTTGTAAGCCTATCGACGAATTTGCGTGTTCCAGACTCTCGCTCCCGTTGAGCTTCGTCTCTGGCTCGGGACTTGTTCCACGGGCTTCCAGGTCGGAGCAGATTCAGCCAATCTCCAATAATAAAGCAGAGATCGCAAACTGATCTGAGGAACTGAGTTGCCTCTGAATTGGGAAGCGCGCCCGTATCCTCAAGGTCAAAGTCACTGTCCTCCAGTAGTTCCACGTCACAGTCATCCAAGTGTCTTCACTCGGGCCGTTAGCGCTGGTTGCGATAGTATATTCAGAACAAACTCACATTGCTCGTGGTCGACCCCATCTGTCGTGGGCATTGTTTAGTATGCTTTGGCTCACTGGGGGGCCCTTGGCACTTACTCGAAGGAGCACAAAGTCTATTCGCGTAGCTAGAGTCTCGTGTTCGGATAAGATGATGGGCTCCTTTAACTTACGTCGTGTATGAACAGTGTCCACCAGATACGCTTCCAGGCCCGCCGCATTGGCGGCCCGGCATTGGCATTCCCCAGCGATCGATGCATCCCCAGGCCCTATCGACACGGTGATGAGTCATATTCCTCATCACAGGACCTATCTTCGGGTAGTGTTACCTGTGCAATTCGCGCGGCGGCGCCTATAGACAACCACATGTTCTGCACAGTATCGTCGCAGCTATCCGACGCGAAGGTACTAAAGAGCAGGTGAGTCTGGACAAGGATAAGGCGGTCTTGCTCAAAGCGATTCTCCACTAGGGCTTTTGCTCTAACGTATAGCCTCCTGGAAATCTCCGAAGCTGGAAGCTCAAGATCAGGGTGCTGGTAGGTAGTCGAACCCGCAAGCAGGATGCTGTGCAGTAACAGCAGGGATACGCTCGTGTTTTTGGATCCCATGGTATAATAGCGCCTCATGAACTCCGAGCGGTTGACAATTGGAAGCGCGGGATAGACACGATCAAAGAACGCGGTCACAAAACTGTCAGAAATCGTCTGGCTCGGGAGAACGAAGGCACCCTGAAGCTCGAGCACACCTCTCTCTGCAGCTGTCAAAGTCCTTGGTAAGCCTCCTTGAGATGTCTCGACGAAGGGTGCATCACGATGATGGTAAATTCCTGCTTCAAAACCCCGACCAAATTCGTCGCCAAGTATACGAGCGATGCTGCTGTAGTTGTCATTGAAGGTCACCTGATAGCCGTTGATGCTTTGACGGGAGAAGTCCTGGGATAGAAAGTCGACGAGAATTGAACTTTGTTTCATGAAGTCCCCCAAGCCAGTCACGACGAGATGTCTGGGATCGTCTCCCTCTCCGAGGGAGTCGAAAGCCTTTGGATAGGCGCCTACTGCATTGTCCTGGGCTTGGTCAGACCCCGACCCTTCCGATTCGCTAAGACGGGTCGTCATGTCAGCTTCCTTGGTTCGAGGCATGACCTTGCCTGCGCTTCTCACATGGATGTGGACTCAATGACAGCTCTTAGGAGGCGTCCCTTTCGCTGCTTCCTCGCGAATCGACGACATAGCACGTTCAGCTCTGAGCATCTCGTGCAAGGGGGTTGGCCGCAAACTACCAGATCGCACTTGACTTTGCGCAAGTGGCAGTTGTGGCAAGCTTGCCCCGTCTTCTGCTGCCCCCGTCGAAATGGAGCCTTATCCTCACCACTAGTATTCACCATGTCAACGCAGTATGATTCACGAGGGTAGTTGTCCAGGGTCAACCGATGATAAGAGATATCAAGAGCGCTTCGCCAGAAGTTTACTCTTCATACCTCACTTTCGCACGGTGGAAAGTCGATGCGGATAGTTGACGTATCGAGATTGATATGGGAAGCCATCGCAAGACGGCTCGAGGTTGAGAGTGGAGATAACGTCAGGTGACCAAAATCACGTGCACCGGTCCAACGGCGGAGGAAGCGGGTCCTTGTCAGGGCCGGGCAAGCTGGGACTCCGCACGGAGGGGAAGCTTGGCTTGCTGGGCAACGGGGAAGCGGTGAGCGAGTACGTGACAACAATTTCTGGCCCACTCGCACCGGTCGCCCCGCGCGCCTGACAATGGGCCTCATTATCCCCTCAAGCCCCATCGTGATCGACCGGGGCAAACGAGTTGGAGCACAGTACAATATTTCACCGTAAACAAACTGACAAGCCATTGCCGATTTGGCGGATGAGGATTAGTGCGTTTTCGACACAGACAATGTGTGCGGCCATGTGCTACGGCAGATCTCGCCGTCAGTCAAACATCCATCATGTTCATTGAGTGGAGTGCTTTGCCGTGCGAGTCGGTCTGCGCCTGCTGTTGGTCAACACGCAAGGAACGCGCTAACGGGTACGCTGCTCGGTGTTTGATCGGCGTGTCGCCGGGTTAAAGGGAAATCGCCGTGGCGTTGGAACAGACTTACTGTACTTGCCGTTGGACCGTGCGGGGGCTCTTAACATTGAACTCATGGGCCCTAGTGCAAGATGTCCTCTACCGCATGCTTTGGCCTATAAAGGGATACTGATTGAAAATACTGTCCGTGCTATGGTAATTGTGCGTTGCCTGGCCAAAGAACCATTTCATCATGGGGTCAATATGTCCCACTCCTTCTGGGTATCCCGCGGAAATTATTGGATACGCCCAACCGTGGATCGTGGATCCAGGGGACCAAGTTGAAATCAAGGTGAACTATGCCCGAAAGCCGTGTCCGCCACTGCTGCTTAGGGTCCCTAAGTCCGCAGAGACTCCTACGTGATACTTACGAACTGTGGTAGGTTTCCTGCACGGAACCTGAGTTCAAGTACCGAATCGTCCGCGTGCTTCAAGGAACCCAATGCTCGAATGGACCCCAACAGCGTTCGGAAGAGATTCATGGCATTCCAGCGGGGGTATGTCCTGGTCGTTTTCAGTTAGCACATCCAGGATCACATGCCGTGATCTCCGATATTGGCCTGGACGAGTCAATCGACGATGGGGTGAGGCTCATATTCTATGTGCAGCCTTGGCTCACCAAATGTGACCACATGCAAGCCTTGGTATCTACCTTGAATCCCTCTACACGGTCCGGTGTCGCGGTTGTTCTTAACACGCGAGGAACCCTCGACATCTTGGTTGGGCAAGCCGACAAAGTCCAGAGGATCATGTCAGGGTTCTCTCCGGCGCATCGAAGGTGGACGAAGATTGACCTGACAGTCTGCCGAGAACTGCTAAACCTGCACATTACACCCTTGGTCCATACTCTTGAGCCTGCAGGGAAGCCAATCTCACTCCAGGTGAGCCTGGACAGGCCTCTTAGCGTATCGTCCTCCACCCAGCTCCACCTGGCGGCTTCCCAGTCCGAGGAACAACTAGATGGGATCCCGCGTGTTAGGCCTTCCAACTACTTCAATGGACGTCTGGACACAGTGACTGTCGAAGCGGTTGGCGAAAGACCGCGAAGGCTTGCCTGCTACGATTTCTCAGTGGACATTCCAAGTGACCAGATCATCGATACCACTGGGAACAACCGGACAGGGATCCTTGTCAATGCTCCAAGTCGAGCTGTGAAGGGATTTCGCTGGGATGGGGCAGAAACAGACTGGACCAAAAGCCCACGCGGATATGGTGCCATTCATTTCCACGAGGATGACCTGGATGATGCCGATTGGGATACGGACTTCTCCATCAAGGTACCCGCGGATGCAAGATCCGGCGTCTATGCTGTAGAAATCGAGAGCACAGCCTCTACCGTCAGCGATCAAGTTGTCTTCTTTGTTAGACCTTCCGAGAAAGCTAACTCCCAGGTAATTCGAACATTCTACATGCCCACTCCGTAGCTAATTTATATACAGAAAGAACCTAAAGTCGCACTGGTGATGTCAACTTTCACTTATCTCGCCTATGCCAATGAGCACCAGTTTGACATTGACAGCCCCGCTCGTGCCGAGATACCAGGTGGCTTAGAGTCTTTAGAGTTTTACAAGGACGAGACGTTCGGGAAACAAGACCGCAGACGAGATCTAGGCTTATCCTGCTATGACGTCCATAAGGACAGAAGCGCTGTCATGTACTCCTCTGCCAAGCGGCCTTTACTAAATTGTCGGCCCAATTATATCAATTGGACAGGCCATCGGCCGCGAGAGCTCAGCGCAGAACTCATCATGCAAGGTTTCCTAGAACGACTCGAAGTCCCATACGACGTGGTGACAGATCATGACCTGCATATGAACGGTGTCCAGGCACTTCATTGTTATAGCGCCGTCATTACAGGATGTCATCCGGAGTATCACACTCTGGAATCGTACAGAGCGTATGAGGAATATCTGAGAGGTGGTGGCAACTTAATGTACATGGGAGGGAACGGCTTTTATTGGTCATCTGCATTAGATCGACTTCGCCCGCATCGCCTCGAGGTCAGGCGCGGCGGTCAGGGTGTTCGAACATCCTACCAGGAGCCAGGCGAGAGACACCACGCCATAGATGGCCATGTCGGTGGTCTCTGGCGGGATCGTGGAAGAGCTGCTAATTATCTTGTTGGCATTGGATGTTGTGGAGAAGGAGCAGGCCCAGGTAAGTTCCCCAAGTTCTCCATCAACTCGCTATCATACCGCCAGGCTTACCACAGTCGCCTCTACTGTCTAGGCGTGCCATACCGTATGAAGTCAGGCGTCAGAGCTGCGTATCCCAACATAACGTCCTGGATATTTGAACAGCTCCACACACATGACGAGCTTGTTTTTGGGGAGAATGCCCTCGGAGGTTTCGGTGGTGGTGCTTCCGCGGACGAAATCGACCGTATGGACATCGGTTATGGCTCTCCTGCTAATGCCATCATTCTTGCCTCGTCTACAGGTCATCCGGACACATTTGGTCTATTCCCCGAGGACAGTGGATTCCCAATGACTAAGACTCTTGGAACCCAAACAGACTCGATCCGGTCGGACATGGTGTATTGGGAAACTTGTGGCGGCGGCTCTGTCTTCTCTGTTGGGAGCATTAGTTGGTACTGTGCCTTGGGCTGGAACGATTTCAGAAATGATATTGCGGTTATAACAGAGAATGTCCTCAGGAAACTCGGCAAGATCCAAGGCACGAATGGAGGTGCATAGTCTATTGAAGAAGCTATGCGGCAACTAGTGCTGTTTAATGTTGGAGACTCGCGTACAAGGGGTTCTGTACAGGTAGCTACCCTGTGCGTGCCGACTAGCTCCCGGGCTGCCCGAGTGATCCATCGAATACAAAGTCAGACTACTATGCTGCACAAAGGAATTGACACACACACACACACACAAACACATCTTTTCCAGGCGCGCTATCTCACTTTTTGCGCGCCTCGCGTGGCGCCACTCCATGAGGCGCGCGCCATCGCCTGTGCTGGCGCCAGTTGGACGCCACGCCTCGGGACGCGCCTCCCTTGCGGGCCACGTCGAGACCAGTGGTTCTTTCTTTCCGAGAGCAACTAAGCACTGGAGCTACTCTGTAGACCAGACGTATGGCCGTAATCTGACATTGATTGAGTCCTCCACAGTATGTACTGTACCTTTGGTTGGTAACGACTGATCTGTCTGGGTGAGCAGCCGACGGGCTTACTTGCGTGGTGGCCAGTGGACACTCTCGATAACTGGTATCACCATGGAAGAAGCCGAAGCATCAGCGCCTCACTCGCCTGGGCGTACATCATCGACCGTTACCTATGAGGGCCGCCTAGACGAAGGCCAAGCCCTTCTGGATTCGGGTTCTCCCACTTGGTCTCCAAAAATACCCGACAAAGTTACACAGAGGTCTTTTGAAAGGACCACGAGACAGATTCGGTGTCTGTATTGGGCCATTGCCATTCTAGCTTTGCTTAATGCGGGCCTCCTGGGTGTACTGGTGGTTTTGCTTCAAACGGGGCCAGCATTGGAATCGAAAAAGCTCCCGCCTTGGTTTCCCCCAGAGACGCCTATCAAAAAAATCTTCACGTACCAGAGTATATATGGCTCAGGGCTCAGTGACGACGCGGAAGCGGCGTGGACTGACTTGATACCGAGTATGTATTCTTTCCTTTCCTGGTCGGCATTGCGCCTCAAGTGGTTAATAGGCTCACGCAGATGTATAGGAGGAAAAGGGTTCGTCAACGTCGGAAACACTTCAGCCATTGACCCCATGCCAGGCCTGGACGACTATTATCACGAACCCAAGGCTATGGTATCCGTTTTCCACCAGCTTCACTGCCTTGTGAGTAACACTCACCTCAGACGCTCGCGTTTTGATTCATGTAGGCGTCACGGCCTCCGCGTGTACTTAACTAACTTGTCTGGTTTTCAGTATATGATGCGTGTTGGATATTACGCGGCGTTGGACAACTCAACTGATAACGTATATGCTCGTCATCTCGGTCACTGTTTTGATTACTTGCGTCAAAACATTATGTGCACTGCGGATACGACGCTAGAGTGGCTTGGCAAGCCACCTCTTGATCATGGGAGCTCAGGGTATGGTTTCCAACACCACTGCAGGGATTACTCGGCTGTTTTTGCCTGGACCGAAGAGCATAGAATGAATGATACCAAGAGAATCAATTAAGCTACTGCTTTAGCGAACCATGTTTGTGCACTGTGTAGTATCATCTTCTCGCGATCCGTTGGTGTGGGGAACTGGTTCGAAACGGTATGGACCGTTATGGATGCATGCTGGCATGATGATATATAGTTTATGCTACGGCTTCACTGACCTTGAGCGGCTTGATGATGAAGTTTACTATTATCTTGATCAGATGGCAGTAACTTATTCTACTGTGGTTGTATTGTATATATAGATGCCCGTCGCTCAACCAGAATTTAGCAAGTATATGGAGCCGTAAGGCCTTCAAGTCACTATAGTCTGTCCTTTGCTTCCTATTTCCCACTGGCAACTCGAGGGCTTGGTAGTCTTGTTTATCTCATATATTTATCTGCGATACTGCTCTGAGATATACAATCCTGCTTGCCCCTAGTTATAATCGACGACAATGACATATGGCCCATCAATGTGCTGCTTATCATCGCGCTTCTGGTGCTTGTTGTTGCCTCCAAGGTTCTCCGCGGGCACGCGTTTAACAGAACGCTTATTATAGTCCACAACGATCACATATGGTCCATCAATATGGGACATTCCACTGCCCGTGTCACGCCCACTAAGCTCATTGCGGGGCTCATTGACGGAATCGCCTCGTGTGTCCAGGTTTGCAGGCGTAGGCTTTGGAACTATGAGTTAGAATTCCAGAAGGCTATAGGGATGTAATGAGTCTCACCGCACTCAGAGCTCTGGCCGCGAATGCGGCAACAAGAACGGAGATATTGAACTTCATGGCGATGACGCGAGTTATATAGGTGCAGAATGTGTTATGCGGGAGTGGAGAGCCGAGAGAAGCAAGGCACAACGTCGCGTGAGCTGATGTCGTCCCTTCTATCAGAAAGAGATCAAGCGGCCATCTTATATACAGGGGGAAGGGACGCTGCTACCTTTTTCCAAACGAGAAGATCTCATAGTCTTCTCTTCTCCGCCCCGGGCGGCCTCGCAGGTGTCGGCGCCAACTGGCGCCAGGCTCCACGCCCAGAATCCACGCCGCGATACGCCAAGGACACTGACCGCGCGGCTTCCCCGGGTCCATAGACCTACGTACAAGTAGACCACAAGAGGCTGCGCCAACAGATGTGCACAGACGAACTACAAACTCTAGTCGACTTGATGCAGTAGAACGGTGACCCGGCGCCTAACCCGTTGTCAATCGATTCTGCTCTATAGTATAACCATATTCAAGGAGCTAGAGGATTGGAACAAATCCTTCCAGTCACGGTTGGTAGCAACTGTACGGTCAGAATCTGACGCTAATTTATCCTGCTGCGCCCAGTATTCCTCCACCTCGCAGGACAGCTCATGCATTGGGGCGGTCATGATGTTCTCTCTGGCCGCCGACGCCCTAGCTAATATTGCACGAAAAGCATCTCTATGCGAGCCCTGCGCAAGAGTGGCACTTGCGAAAAACGGCCAAATCAGCGGTTTGAGGGGCATAGTGTCTGGGTTTCGGAGCACCCATGCAGAGTTAATAGCCCGTTCAATGCCCTGACTTATCTCGGCGACCGCAGCTTGAGGACCAGAAACTATTTTATGTAACTCAATCAAGGCGGCGTGTGAGAAGATGTACTCTTGAACATGTTGCGCGTGATTGCTGTGTTGCAAGACCATGTCTGTCCGCGACCATGCTGAGGACAAGGGCGACAGAGTGGCGGATACATCCGTTTCTTTCGTGCGAGGCAATTGGACATTCGAGGCAGGGCACGATCCAGTCCTGGCAGGTGGGCATGTTGTGACACCATGGAGGAGCCTTGAGAGGCGCCGGATCCTTTGATGCAAGCCGGACTCGATCTCGTCTGCGCGACTGACCAAGGAGCGCATGCTAAGCGTGCCACTAGTCTCCTGCTGGCGGCGCCAGATTTCGAGGCCCGTGACATCCATTACGGCCAGTAAGACCCAGCATCCGCAGCCAGCTGTTTCACGGAACACTAGGTCAAAGTCGCTTCTGGCCATCAGACGTCTATATGAGTCGGCAGCGATAGGTAGCTTCTTGTGTACCGAGCACAGAAGTATATCGTTCCAAACAAGACGGGCCAGGGACGAGTTCACCGAAGTGGCCTCCATGGGAGACACAGATATTGTAGACGAACGTGTTGCAATTTTGAGGAACAAGTTTTCGTGATTGGCGAAATGCTTTGCGGTCTCTTCCAGGTGTGCTTGACATTCCTTCATGTCGCCGCTGGCGGCCTAATGAATACCTGATGTTAAAGCTTGAACATTAAAACCTTTATTGATTAGGGGTGGACGCATGACTAGATCAGCGTTTATATCCAAGGGTCAATTGTACCTCTAGTATGGCGAGTTGTAGGCCACAGATAAGACGCTCCCCAGGAAAAGCCATTTTATGGTGATCTGCTGAGATTGGGAGTTCTGGAAGATCATGGAATAGATCAATGGCCCATTTTTTATGCTTTCTGTAGTCGCTAAAAGATTCAGAGCTTGCCGCGTCGTCACTCCATGGATCTAAGTATGAGTTATAGGCGCTCATGCTTATAGAGGCATGGCGAACGGCACTGGATCGTTGGAGAAGCAGTAGCATCGAGCTCATTCGCATCATCTCTGACGCCGCACGTTGCCCGTGAACATGGTTTATGAGCGGCTCGGCGATGGATCGCATGAGGAGATGGATTTCTCTTTCCGTTTCGAGCCCATCCTGTTCAAAGGCGCCTTCAACAACCCGGGGAGATAGCAGATCTTGTCCAGCAGGCGGAATGGTGAAAGACATCATCATATCTGAGTCGCAACTCGGGGACGTAGTAGTATTTGTGTCAGCCATCCACGTCGAGAGACTCGTCGACAGGCAGCTTTCACGCGCAGTGAGTGCCGTGGGACCTGCTTCTGTCATGTCTTCTGGTATTGTGCCCGTATCGTACGACAGCAGTCGATCTGGATCTAGAGAGAGGCAGAAATCGAAGTCATTGAGGCGGCTCTGCTCGTCGGGCAGGGCGGCGCTGACCGGATGCGGCGACGCATCGTCCAGGGAGGATGACGGAGTGACAATGGTGGAAAGACTCTGAGCGCGGCGATGAGTAGTCCGAGCCGCTGCTCTAAGGCCGTTGAGCGAACCTTGGTGTTGACTCATCTGGGCAAGCAATTTGCGAGCCTCTTCTTGCTCCATGGCACCACGGTCTTTCCACGCCGGCTTGGGCCCATATCCGTGACAGAAAACACCCCGAGCTGCGCAGTTGCTGCATGGCGGCCCGCCTTCAGAGCATTTCTTCCGTCGCAAACGGCACGTCCAGCAGCCGGTTTTACTGCGCTGACGAGCTGACATGGCGCTGGACCTGCAAAGCTTGTGTTGGCGATAGAGAATGTGTCCAGTGGCTATTTAATCTCAACATTGCTCTCTGGATTGTGCGTGTAGCAAAGTGATCCATTTATACCATCAATGTCAAACCCAACGATACTGCCACTCGGGCGTAGACCGACAATTGATTGTAGCCAACAGGATAGACCGACCGGGACGAGCCGCAAAGATGACTGCGCGATATGGAAGGGCCGGCTACGAGACACTACTACGCTGCGAGGTCATCTATGAGCGGTCACCTGTCAGGGGCACGGTTGAGCGTGGTAGTCCACCTGTGCCTGACCTTGACCAAGTTGCATTTCCATAGCCTGGAATAAGGACACGGTAGGATCGTTCCGGTGATTGCCCGATGAGGTGAAATGCCGACCAACATGCAGGCGCAAATAACAGCGGGATGCGGGGCCGGAGTAGGGGCGGGCGCGGTAACACCCGGCAATGTAATTAACGATTGGGCTGATTCCGACTCACTACTGGCCAGTGCCTCTCAGCAAAAACAACCCGAGCCAACGTATCGACAGTACGGCGACGTTGCCTCTCTTACTCTTCGTTCCTGTAACAGGAATCAGCACAAGGTAGCAGCATCACGAAAGTATGTCTTTTCTATTATGTATTTCACCACCAAGGTGCTTGATGTTGATGTGGACATGGTCACCCGACTTATTGTCGGCACCGATACTACGACACGCCGAGATATGAGATTCTGAGCTGGCCTCGGCTAGAGCTTTGACCTCACGGCGGCATAAGAAGGTAAGTTGCCGCCGGTTCAACTGCATTGAACGGGCTCGACCTTGTCCACATCACTCGTGATATCGGTCCTCCGCGCCTCTTTTCTCTGCCGCAAGAAGCTTCCGTCGTAATCGGTAGTACTTACAGGGCGTCAAAGTCCTGCGACTTGATGCAGATGAGCCATTTGTTGGTGCTCTAATAAGATGCATTGGGCTCTGGAGCGGCCGGCTCCTCAACTGCGAGGCAGCAGGTAATGCTAACGTCACACCATCATCGCTACCCCAGTGGCCAACAACACCTGCTGGCGCTGGAGGTGGCCTTCTCAAACTGAAGCCGGCTCATAATGTTCTGCTTTAAACTCTTGAGCGAATCGACCGGTAGTGTTGACAAGGAAACGGACACCCTGAGGTAGAGGGTTATACATGAGAACTGTTCCGAATGTCACAATCTGCTACGGCAAGGACAAAACCCTGGCTTCTAACGACGTGAAGTAAAGACTTTATCTCTATCCCTGGCCCAGTCTTAGTACCGATAACATAAGAGCTCTCCCTCCGTGTCCATGACCTGGGACACCCGTATATCGTCGACAAACCCACCATAGGGCAATATGCCACTGAGAGTGGCGTCTTCTGCCGTTGAATTCACCATGTGCTTTCCCTCATACTCGTGTAGACGCACTGCCCTGTGCTCCTGTTGCCACTGCCACCACAAACGGTCAAGCTGCGCATGATGCAGGAAGAAGACTGGGTCTGCGCCCTCGCAGACAACGAGGTGAGTATTGTCAGCAAGCTATCACAACAGAACCAAGATAAAAATCATGAGCTCGACAATATATGCTTCAAAGAAAAACTCCCTCAGCCGTCGAGGTGTACTGAGATAATTCAGGGCTTAACACCGACATGACTTATCAGCAACTCACCATTTGGTGCCGTCAGAACTTCAAAGTCTCCGGATATGGACTTGTGTATAGTATTGTGCAAATGCAGCTCCACGTGCCTGATGAACTTGACGTAGGTTGGGCTGCGCTTGACTCGGCCCATCCACTCAGGACTAAAGTCGGCGCTGCGAAGGTGTCCAACGGTCTGGTTGTTCCGAAATCCACGCGAGATGCAGTGCGGGACATAGCTCTGATTGTACCAGATGGGTCGAAGCTGTGAAAAAGGTCCGTTTGTCACGCAGCTACCATTACCTACGGCTATGGAGTTGTCAGTTCCTGGTCCGATGATACCGTCGCCGCCGAATCCAGTGTCTTCATCCCAAATGGACGACTGCGTGAGATCCGTCCAGTCTAGAGACCAGTCCCAATACCTGCATTAGTTGGGATCTAAGTCAGCGCTTCCTGTCTGAGGAACATGAACCATGTAGCGCGAGTCACACTGGAGTTCTTCATCAGGAAACGAACGGGATTTGGCCTTTAAAATTACAGTGCTCTCGAAGTGATGCTTCCCAAACGGAGAGAGTGTACCGATGCCAGGGCAGGAATGACGCCGATCGATGGCCTGGACAGGGAAAGGTATTAGCGAAGTGCCTGAAACGTCCGAAGCCATCTGCAGGATAGGGGAGAGCATGTCACCCAACTTAATTGGCCGATTCTGGCGTGCAAGGCGGTGAAGTCATCGTATAGACTGCCGTTATACATCCACCGGGAGGGTACGGTAGCAAGACACTTGACCGCCTCTGTGAACTCAGTCTTCTCATCG